CCTGGGGAGCTTTTAAAAGCTACTGGGCTCAGCTCCCACCCCAGACCAATTAACCAATTAAAATCGTAATCTCTGGGGATGAGGCCCTGACAGTATTTTATTTTAAAGTATCATAAACTTTTTATTGAAGTTAACATAATACAGAAACAAGCAGAAATCATAAGTGAGCAGCCAATAAACTTTGATAAAGTGAACATACCCTTATCCAGATTAGGAAACAGAACACTGACAACATCCAGAAGGCCCCTCCCTCACCCTCTTCAAGTACTATATTCCCATCAAGACTTCTAACATCATATGTTAATTTTGCTTGTTTTTGAAATGTGTGTGTGGTTTCATGTTGCTGAAGCTAATTCTTACTACTGTAAGAATGTATGACTGTACCCTTTATCTATTCTACTGTTGATGGATATTTGGAAATTTCCAGTTTGGGGCTATTATGAATAGTGATGCTATGAAAATGCTTGTCTATATCTTTTGGAGAATGTATATGTGTCTTTCTATTGGGGATATACCTAGGAATGAAATTGTTAAACTGAAAAAAAAAAAAAAAAAAAAAACTGACTGCCATTGAGTCGATTCCAACTCATAGCAACCCCCTTTGGGTTTCCAAGGTGGTAAATCTTTATGGAAGTAGATTGCCCAATCTTCCTTCTGCAGAGTGGCTGGTGGGTTTGAACCACCAACCTTCTGGTTAGTACTTAAATGCCTAAGGCACTACACCACCAAAGCTTCTTAGGAATGCAATTGTTGGGTCATAGGAAATACAGATGTTTAACTTTAGCAGATAATGCTAAAGTATTTTCCAAAGTGGTTGTGGACACTCATCATTTTTAAAAAAGTGTCCAGATGATTCCAATATGCAGACAGACCTGACAAATGGTTTAGGGATGGTAAGTCTGGAAACTGGGAGCCCAGTTAAGAGGCTGGAGCTGTCATCTAGGGCCTGGGGAAATGCCAATGTTAACTGAGAGTGGGATTTAGACAGAAAAGGGAGCAGACAGCAATGAAGGAATAGACATCAGAAATAAAGTGAAACTCTTTATATGAAGACAAAGGGGAAAAGGGAGAGGAAAACATCCCCTGGTGCCACTGGTGTTTCTGGCTTAGGCTTTACAAAGGTCTCGGGAAAAAGAGGCATGAGCTATTAAGAGAGCAGGAGCAGGAGATGAAAAAGCTTATAGAATTTTTGTTGCCAAATTTGGATACCTTAGACGCACCAGCCAAAGCCTGCAGACACTATGTCATGGGACTCTAATTATGAGGCCTGCATTCACTGGCTGTATATGTGGTTATCGTGGTGGGAGCAGGGATCCGTGTGCTGCCATGGCCAGGTGCTAGAGGAGGACGTGGGAAACCTGAGTTCTAATGCCATCCTGGCCACTAACTGGCTGTGTACCTCTTATCTCTGTATTCTAGTTACAGAGAGTACTGGCTCGATGACCTTTAAGATCCTTTCCAGCTCTAATGGCCCATTATTTATTTTATGTCACTCTAGGGGTGAAATTTCAGTAAGATGTTCTGAAAAGTGACATGATGCTAGTTTTGTACTTAAGATGGTTTTGGGTAAAAACATTGGACTGTATACATATTTTCTCAAATTACATAGCATAGGATAAGGCACTCTTTTTAGTTTTGTTTTGCTTTGTTTCAATTTTTTAAATTCAGGGTATGACTTGGGAAATAAGGGCTGGGGAATCAGGGACAGTCTTGTATTGTCACTAATGTGGCTCCATGACAGTAGAAAACCTTTTGTTTTCATATTTACACCTCTCCCACTGCCCTTTATAAAATAGAAACCTCTCACCTGGGTGATTGGGAAGAACTACCAAGATGTTTTGTAAGAAAAGCCCAAAACTATATTGTTAATTCACATAGAAGCAGACCTATGGACCCTGTCGTGTCTGATTCATCATAAGGTCATTAGCCTGGGAACATCTTGGGTTTAACATGCTCAGAATACCACCCAGAGCAAGCAGGCCATTCCCTGATGGAAGAACTGAGAAAGAAGACAGTGTTCCTGGATTTCCTTAGAATATGTGGGTTTCCCAAAGGTCTTAGGGGAGAAATGGGACAGAGAATAGATTTCTGTTTTTTTTGGGGGGTGCGTTTTAAAAGGAATGAAATTGTATGACTGGACCATTGTAGGACAATTGAGTTGCAAAACAAAATCTACCAAAGAAACCACTGCTTTCAGCTATTACATTGAGTAAACTTTGATTTTAAAAAAATTACTGTGAGGCTAGGAGAGGACTCAGAGATACTGTGATTGTAATTCAGAGTCCTGATCTGAATGAATATCATTAAAGTTTCAGGAGTGGGCAGATATGTGATGTCAACACGAAGAAAACAAAAGCACAGGAAGGCTGAGTCTGCAATTAAATAGGCCAGAGATAAACTCTGCTTGCATGCTATTCTGAAAAGAAGAGGTTGCTAGAGAGGAGGAGGTGGTGTAGCTAAGGAGAAAGTCAATATTGTGAGTCAGCCAAGGAAGCTACTGGACATATTGGATGAGTTGACAGGTGTGGGAATATTTGCACAGCAGTGGTTGGCAGAGACACCACGAGCCTGAAACTGCAATTAAAGGAGCTGAAGTGTAGATTGTTTAGTCACCAGGGGAGAAATGAGAGAACATGCAGGTCAGATGGGGATTGGGTTACCCAATGAGCCTAGATCAAAAGAAGCCATTGGATTGGAAAGGCATTTCTTTTGCTCTGCACAAGAGGATACAGTTATAAGGGTTACTAGGCAAGCTCTGTGCAAACACGAATGATTGTCCAATCCAGAGATGAGGAAGAAGGCCAGGTGTCCCTGTGGTCCCTGGGCTGTATGTCCATACCATCAGGTCCCCTTCTCCCTCCTCAGAAAGGACCCGGGACTAGATGGCAGGCTTGGAAGTGAGGCTGTGGTGGTACTTTACTTTCTGATGTTTAAAGCAATAATAGTTGGGAATAGTTGAGACTGGAGTGCAGGAAGGGTACAGGGACTGACATTGATTGAATGTTAATCATGGTGCTGTGTACACATTATTTCAATTAATTTTCTTTGAGAGCTGTATCAATTAATTGTTTTATAGATATTCATACAGATGGCTAGAGAGATCATTTTCCCAAGATCATGTAGCAAGGGGTTGATATTTTCATGCAGTCTGTTTGATCGCAAAGTTATATCCCTCCAACACCTAGGCATTGCTGAAAGAATAGAATTTGTATGTATGTATACTTTTTAAAAAAAAAAACAAAAAACTTTATTTAACCACCCATCTATCCACCCATATATCCAAGTTTGCCTTCACTGACACGCAGTACTGTATGTGCAAAAGGGTTCATCTTTGTAGTCTGTACTTCCCATGTACCTCTCTATGTCTTCCTCTTCCTCAATGCCAATGTGTTGATCACTCACATTTGGTACATTGCCCTTCTCTTCACCCACATCAATACTTGTCTCTATCTATCTAACAGTGTTCCCTCCCCTCCCCTCCCACCCCTGGTAACCAACAAAGAAACTTTCCTTCTGTATATAAACCTTTGTTTGACTTTTTACAATAACGGACTAATACAATATTTGTCTTTCTGTGATTGACTTATTTCATTAAGCATAATGTCCTCCAAGTTCATCCACATTATGCGGTGTTTTGCAGATTCTATATTATTCTTTAGGGTTGCATAGTGTTCCATTGTGTGTATGTGCCATTGTTTGGTTATCCATTCCTCAGTTGATGGACACCTAGGTTGTTTTCATCTTTGGGCTATTGTAAATAGTGCTGCAGTGAACATAGGTGTGCATCTATCTGTTCTGGTCCTGGCTTTCACTTCTTTGTTGTTATGTGCCGTCGAGTCAGCCCTGACTCATAGCGACCCCTCCTTGGGTTTCCGAGGCAGTATCACTACGGAAGTAGGGTTGCCCAACCTTCCTTCCGAGGAGTGGCTGGTGGGTTTGAACCACCAGCCTTCTGGTTAGCAGTCAAGTGCCTTAGCCACTATGCTACCAGAGCTCCTTCTTTAGGATATATATCTAGTAATGGAATGGCTGCGTCAAATGGTATTTCTAATTCCAACTTTTTAAGGAATCACTATACTGCTTTCCACAGTGGTTGTATAATTTTACAGTCCCTCCAGCAGTGTATGTAAGTCCCAATCTCTCCACCTCCTTGCCAGCATTTGTTATTTCCTGTCTTGTTGAATTTTGTTACTAGTGCTGGGGCAAGGTGGTATCTCATTGTTGTTTTGATTTGCATCTCTCTAATGGCTAATGATCGTGAGCATTTCTTCATATGTTTGTTGGCTGCCTGAATATCCTCTTTAGTGAAGTGTCTATTCATGTCTTCTGCCCATTTTTTAATTGTATTATTTGTCCTTTTGTTGTTGAGGTGTTGGAGTTTTCTATAAATTCTAGAGGTAAGTCCCTTGTCAGATATATCATTGCCAAATATTTTTTCCCTATCTGTAGGTTCTCTTTTGACTGTTTTGGAGAAGTCTTTGGAAGCACATAAAAATTTAATTTTTAGAAGGTCTCATTCATGTGGTTTATCTTCTGCTGTTTATGCATTTTGGGTTATGCTTGACAGTCTATTTATGCCATAAATTAGGGCTTCTAAATTTGCCCCTAGTTTTTCCTTGAGGAAATTTATACTTTTAGGTTTCACATTTAAATCTTTGATCCATCTGGAGTTAGTTTTTGTGTATGGTGTGAGGTACAGATCTTGTTTCATTTTTCTGCAAATGGATATCCAGTTTTGCCAGCACCATTTATTAAACAGACATTCTCTTTCCCATTTAATGGGTTTCAGCCCTTTGTCAAAGATCAGCTGACCATAGGTCAATGCATCAGTATGTATATATACTTTAGGAAAATTATCTGTCAGGACAAATAAGGTATGCCACCATTTTGAGCTTTGAGGATAAAGGAGCTATGCCAACTAGTGAGTTACTGTGGGAATCAGGGTCAGCATCTGTAGGTTGCCACTTTGACATATGTCCACCAGGCCCTCAGCTACTCACCATGTTATTCCAGAGTGCGATGGCCATCTCAGCATGACCACGTTCTGAGAGGTGGGAACAGTCCTCTGAGAAAAAGGTGAGGTCAGCATCCCCTCTCTGTGACCAAAGTCAAGAGAATTATTTCCTGGGAAAAGAGTACTCTTTACCCAACCACTCCTCAACCTAATAGGCACCCTGGGCATTTCTCCTTCATTCTTTCAATTCTGCTGCCTAACTGGCTCAGATACTGGTAGAGAAACTGCCAGGTTTTTTTCTTTTTTTAAAAAATGGATATGAATTTCCAGCTTCTCTGCTCCAATAGTTGAAAAAGAAGAATTTTTGAAGGGAATTTTCCATTCTATCCCAATCCGGCAATCCCATGCCTGGATCTTCTACTTTTCTTTCCAAGAATACCCAAGTTCCAATCACTCACACACACACACACACACACACACACACAAAGGGAGGAAATGCAGAAAAAGCAATCCCTTGGAAACCCTCTCAGAGAGTTATGGTAAGAAAAAGCCCACTCAGAGAAGGAAATACCTTGCCTAAGATAAGGGCTCTGCACACGAGCATCCAAGAAATAGCTACAACTTACAGCATTCAGTGGGACAAGAGTGTTGCGGAAGAAGGGCTGCACAACAACTGCAAAGTCTTCCCGTTGCATGTAGCGATGCTGGTAGGAGAACTTGGAGACACTGCTCTGGAGATGGGGAGAGAGGATGGTCAACCTCCTAGCAGGGCTGGACACACACTTCCTATTCCTGCTGTTCTGGGTTGTTTGAGACAGGGGTCAAACCACTCTAGACAAAGGTCTCAAAGAGGCTACTCTGGTGTGCATGCAAACATTCCTTTAGTCTGTACCATTTGCAAGTGCCTTTGTCATGTGGAGCTCTCAAGATCAGAGATGAGTTGGAACCCCATCTTGGAGCAGCCTACCATTTGGACAGCTCTACCTAGTTCCATTATGAAGCTTCTGCAAGGTGGGTCTGAACCACTTACCTGACTGCCTGGGCCACAGGCCTCCCTGCCTCTTACTGCATGAAGAGGAAAATTAGAGCCTATGGCTCTAGTTCAGGCCCAGCTCAAGCAGTGACTGTCTTAATACCAGTTCCCCAACATTTTTGTGAATGAGACTCATTTAGGAATGAGTGTCCATGGCCACTGAATTTATTAAGTGCCAAAATGTGGTATGTAAAAGGGATAGACCAGATGTACTTATCCTCAAGGAGCTTATCATCTAGCTGGGAGAGTGAGATAAGATGTAAAAACACTAGAGAACCAGATAGGGCTTCAGGGTCAGTTGAGTGTAGACTGAATTTGATATGAGGAGATATCTGAGGGTGATGTTTAGTCAAGGGAAACTTCTTTGATGAGGGAAGACATACCCTGGGCATGAAGATGGATATGTTTTCAGAAAGGCTTAGAGTGGGAATGTCAAGAGAGAAGAGCAAGAGCAGAGCTGGACATGAGAAGAAGAGTGGTGGGGAAGCAGACTGGAAGAGGATGGGTAGAAGGTGAGAAGAATTTGGGATGGAGGTTAGGTAGGTAAGGGAGCTCTGGTGGTGTAGTGGCTAAGGCTACTAACCAGGAGGTTGGTGGTTCAAACCCACTCAGCCACTCCTCAGAAGGAAGATTGGGCAATCTACTTCTGTAGAGACACTACCTCAGAAACCCAACAAGGGGTCTCTATGAGCTGGGAAATGACTCGACGGCAGTAAGTTTGGTTTGGTTTTTGGAAGCCTTATGTTCTTGAGGGGTGAGGTAGCTTGGCTTCTATTCTGGAAGCCAAGTGCTTCTTACTTTCTCTGGGCTGACCCAGGGCTTGGAGGCGGGGATTCTCCCAGCTTCCTCTTGGGTTTTCTCTTCCCCTTTCCCTCCCTGGCTCTGGTGTTTGATTCACATGGATAAATATCTCAGACACTGTGATCTGCCTTTGGGAGCTCTAGTGGCACAGTGTCTAAGGCATTTGACTTCTAACCAGAAGGCTGGTGGTTCAAACCTACCAGCCACTCCTTGGAAGGAAGATTGGTAATCTACTTCCATAGAAATATCGCCTCAAAAACCCAAGGAGGGGTTGTTATGAGTTGAATCAACTCAACAGCACAGAGTTTGGTTTGGTTTTGGCAATCTGCCTTTAGAGAGGGTCTTGTTCTCTGCAAACCCTGACTGAACACTTGAATCCTGAGTCAAAGGGAACACCCACCTGGAGCAGGAAGAGGATGAACGCAGGGACTCACCTGGAAGTTCCAGTTCAGTTGCTTCAGTTTTTGCATCTCTGAGGAGTTCTTCTGGGAACCTCTGAGGCAAGTGCAGTTACCCCTGCCAGGCAAAAAAGTCTTAAGGCAGAGGGTCCCTTATGAAAACCTGGCTCTATCTGTCCAGGAGGCTAACTCTGACACACAGAAGATGCTGTTACCCACAGGGGCCTGGACCTTGTACTGCTTTATATTGGGGGTGAAGGATTAAAGAGGATGACATACAAGTACTTCCTCAATGAACCATTCACTGACTCTTAGACCCAGATCATAAGAGTGTAACTCAAGGGGCACAACGACCAGCAGGTGTTTGGGTAGAGAGAAGGTAGAAGAGTTGGCACCTGATACCCATGTCACCTTTTGGGGAAGCTCCAATTCCTGGTGGGAGAGGCTGCACATTCCCCTTGTCTTTTGACTCTTTCCCAAGCCTGTGGCTCCTGGGTTTCTCCAGAAAGAACTGAGTAGGGACAAGGCTAGAGTTATGGGAAGACAGCCACAATAGCCCTATCTTTTGGGACAGAATTATTCTTCATTTTCTACCAGCTGCTTAAGACTTTGTCTCAGAGCTCCTGACTGGGGAGTCTGCTGGGAACCTGAGAGGGGTCAAGCAGCCTGAGACACACTGACAAGGTGGAATACAATACCAGCAGACCCTGGAGGAGTCACTGGGACCATGAGTCAATTGGCCACTCCCTTTGGGGGCCAGGTTCCAGAAAGAATGGGAACCAGCTGGTAACCTTCACAGAAAATTCATTTTACCCCAGAGAAGACTGCTCAGCCTCATGCAGAATCTCCTCCCCTACCAAAAGTCACAAGAACTCTGAGTGATCCTTTGGTCTCAGAAGATGACAACTTCCTCCCAGGATACAGTTGAGCCCCCAGTGGGAATGTTTGTCTTGTGCCTTGGTCTTTACCTCCAAGCCTTGATTCCAATGCAATCCTATCATGGATGTAATAAAAGCTATTACTTATTGGGAGCTCTGGTGGCATAGTACCTAAGGCATTTGACTGCTAACCAGAAGGCTGATGGTTCAAAGCCACCAGCTACTCCTCAGAGGGAAGGTTGAGCAATCTACTTCTGTATTGATACCGCCTCAGAAACCCAAGGAGGGGTTGTTATGAGTCAGATCCAACTCGATGGCAGTGAGTTAGTTTTGAGTTAGGCCCATACATGTCAGCAACATTATATGTATTTTCTCTAGACTTCACATATACCTTGCAAGGAAGGTACTATAGCTGCCATTTTACAAATGAGTAATTAGAGGCTCAGAGAAGGTATGTGCTTTGTTCAAGGCCCTACAGCATCTAATGACAAAGCCAGGACTTGAGACCAGATGTCACTCCCTTGAAAGCTCATTGCCCAATGCTGCCTCTCAACTAGGAGCAACTCACCAAGGTTGGACTTTGGAGTCACAGACAACGTCAAGGGGCCTTAACGATCACTCAATCGGGTCTCCCTCACTTTATAGAAAAGCACACTGGAGTCCAGAGAAATGAAATGACTTGCATACAGTAGTCATTCAATAATGAGGAGACATTTCCAGATGATTTTCGAAGTGCTTGCTGAATTGCAGTGCCAGCCTGTCTGGCTCTGACAGCGCTAGTCTTACCCCTTGGCATTTCTAGGGTCTGCTTTCCCCAGATGCCCTCACCCTGGGACTATGACCCGACCACTTACTGAGCTGTCAGAGGCATGACACATTTCCCTCCTTGGCTCTGATACAGGTCAGCCAGCTCCATGACCTCCACCACATTGATGAAAGCCCTTGGAAGCTTCAGGGATCAGAAATGGGCTTCATTAGTCAACAGGCAATTGGGGAGGAGGGAACACTGGTTACTACGGAAGGGATCCTCCCCTACAATCCAATCTCTCCCTTCCAATTTGCCTAAGAGGCCAAGAGATGGGATGTGACTTGTATGATCTCACAGAATCTTCTTTATTGTTGCTGCTTTATGGATTAGAAGATCTGGTGGCACAGTGCCGAAGACATTTGACTGCTAATCAGAAGGGCAGTTCAAACCCTTCAGCCACTCCCAGGAAGGAAGACTGGGCAATCTACTTCTGTAAAGATTTACCACCTCAGAAACCCAAAGGGGGTCTGAGTTGGATTTGACTCAATGGCAGTGAGTTTGGTTTTGGTTCTGGGGTTGTAGATTGAGAAGCTGAGACAAAGAATTAGCTTGCTCAAAGTCACATTGCTAGGAAGCCACAGCTTCTGGCTGCAAACCCAGGCCAATTGGCTCTGGGGGCAAGTTCTTTGCCACTATACAACACAGTATCTGATCACAAAGGAGATCACAGCTCCTTCCCTCCTGGACCATCCAGGTGCACACTCATGTTGGGCCTTTGCCCAGTGTGTATCTTGTTGAATACAACTTGTCTGGATGCACCGAGGGAAGGAACCTCCTCCACACACTCAATGAGGAAGTGATAGGCAGTTTTCTGGCAGTAAGGGGGCCCAGGAAAGTGCAGCCACTATTTCTTACCTTTTCATGGAGGATGTCCAGGGTTTGTTGGAGGTGCTGAATGTACTCTTGGGCTGAATGGGCCTCCTGTAAAGAAAGAAGGAGGCTGTCCTCAGATCCTGGGTTCTACTCTGAGATGAGACAAGGGCAGTTAGCACCCAGAACAGGAGTGCCTTACAGGCATGGGCTGTTGGCAGAGTAGGTACAGAAGGACTTCTGTGGCACTGGCCTGCCCTTGTTGCTGGTTGGACACAGGGTCTCTTGTACAAAGTTGTTCCTTGACCCCTACTGAACCCTATGGACAATCCCTACTCCCACCCCGCTGCATGTTATCTAAGCCCAAAGGCAGACACTCCGGTGGTGCTGGGACCTGCCATTTCTCCAGTGCATCTCTCAGCAGTCCCCATCCATCACCATACCTTAGCCTTCACTAACTGCGCATGTGGGCCCAAGGACCACACGTTCTCTTTCCTCTGGGCTTTGGGCCATCCTGGTCCCACTGCCTGGAACCCCATGCTTTCCACATACTCCTAACTTCTGCTCTCCCTTGTGACTCAGCTCCAGTGACGACTCCTCTGGCCCCTCTTTCCACTGGAGGCTAGTTGAGATATGCTGCCATAACATCCTGGGTGCTATGTGGTTACACAGCAGCTGCTCAGTAAATGCTTCCTGACTAATCTTGGACTTGACTTTATAGCATGAGGACATCATATGTTTTTGGATATGGTCTTGGGCTCCATAGAAGGATCAGAAGGTGGTGACTTGAAGCTCTCATATACAAATGAAAGAATGCATGTCTGCAGGAGGGAGATGGGAGTAGAGGAACAGGCAGGAGATGAGAGGTCAGATAGTCCCTTATTTGACAAATTGCTCAGGTGGGGTTATGTGCTTCAGGGTCCAGAAATAGTGCTCTATGGACACCTACTTGTTCACTGATGAGGCATCAGCCACCAAAAGGGGTATTGGGTGTTCAGACGGTGAGGGAAGAATGGGAAAGAAGACAGTTTGTACTGAGGGGGTCAGAGAGGCTCCCAAGAGGAGATGGACCTTGTGTCTATCCCTATTTCTGGGCCCACTTCCTTGCCAGGACAATTAAGGGCCTAGGCACTAGCTTTATAATCCTTCTTGGCTCTAGGTGTGAAGGGTGTGAACACATTAGTCATGGGAGGAGAACAAGCAGGGAAATTTTGATGGAAGAGGGTGGTTTTCTCTCACAGCCAGATGTAAAGATTTATAGATTCCTTATAAACAATTCCTTCCCATTATTCTGGCCTCTCCTTAGTGTATAAATTCCAGGAGTCTAAGCAGTTGCTGATTCAACCAGGTTAGCTCTTCATCTGATGTCGGGCCCAGTGCCCAGCTGCTGTATGTGGCCTCTCCCTCACCTGGTCGTCTAAGAGTATAGCTCAGTGCCTCCCCCCTATCCCACACACACTGTTTGCCTGAAGGACATATATTTGTGTCCTGTTGTTATTGTTGTTAGCTGCTGTCAAGTTGGCTCAGACTCATGGTGACCCCATGTACAACAGAATGAAACACTGCCTGTCCTGTGCCATTCTCAAAACTTTCTTGAGTCTGTTATTGCCTTCCAACCTAGGGCTCATCTTCCATCACTATATGAAACAATGTTCTGTTGTGATTCATGGGATTTTTATTGGCTAATTTTTGGAAGTACATTGCCAGGCCTTTCTTCCTAGTCTATTTTAGTCTGGAAGCTCCTCTAAAACCTGTCCACCATGGGTGACCCTACTGATACTTGAAATATTGGTGGCTTCACTTTTTGCATCACAGAAACTTGCAAGTCAAAACAATACAACTAACAGACAGATGGGTTATGAATTTGGGGCTAGTAGAGGACATTCCCCTAAACTAAGTGTCCACTGGTGGCTCCACTATCACTTTTGGCTTCCAGGCATTCCTGGAGTCCAGGACACAATGACATTTAAGTTCCCATTGGGTTGGATTACTTCTACCTCTAGAGTCTGAGTAGTAAAGGAGAGAACAGAGGTGAAGATTCTTGAAAGAGCTAAACTTGTGTGTGTGAGGATAATTCTCATCAAGCCATTGGTACTTGACCTCCTCAAGCCACAAGGAGTGATGAATGCTACCCCACCTCCCACCGCCTATGACTGTAAAATAGTTCAGTGCAACATTTGAATCAGGGCAGCAGCCTTTTTCTGGCCAAACAAAATAAATGCTGTCCCCAGCTTAGAACAAGATGTATTCCTATAGTAACAACTTCCAAAAGTTTGTAAGTCTGGACATATTTCCTCATAGCAACAATATGAGGAATGGGGTTGGATTCCCAGGCCACCCTGCTAAAGTTGGTTAACTTATGATGTCCCTGAAAGGCAGCAAGCCAGACTCTTAGGACTGGTTCAACTTTATCCAAACTCTATTTATAATATTGTTTGGTATATCCCTGTCCATGACCCCCACCTCCAAACCCTCACACCTAGAAACCAAAACAGGAGTATGGACTGCAAGTGGTCATGGGTGGGGAACCACTAACCATCTATCTGTCTGGATATCATGGAACAGTATATGTGTGGAAAAAGCTACCTCCTCAGTTGTGCTCAAAGAACAGTTCCATCTAGATACATCTGGAATTGAGGAACCAACACAGCCATTCTTCCAAGGGCCATTCAGCAGCAGGAAAGGCCAGGCCTCACCTGGTATTTGTGAGCCTGGGGCCTGCTTGGGCAGACTCAGGTGCCTAGAGTTTAGGCAAGCGTGATTCCCATGAGACAGGATTGGGTGTGGGAAGGGTCAGGGCCCTGGGCAAGGACAGTGACAGAGGTCAGCAGCTCTGTTCCTCAGGTCCTCGATGGGGTTCCTCAGAGCATACCGGATTCTCACAGTAATGACACAAGTCGTTGCCCCCAATGAAGAGTGTGATCAACTTCCAGTCTTTCTCCAGGTTGATTTCCTGAGAGGATAGAAGATTCTAAGTTTAGGCCTTGGGGTCACATGCAGGTAATGTTCACCATGCCAGACAGCCCCTGAGTGCCTCTACCTTCCTTAGATCACAGTGGAGAGAAGATGCCATGTGAAGCCTCCCTAACCCCACCTTGGTACCCTGGTAAGGAGCTTCACAGAGAAAATTGGGCAGCAGGTGTATGTGTGTGTACAAGCATGTGTGTGAGTGCTCGTGTACTTGTGCATGTGTATGTGTCAGCTCACACAATGATAAAGGGTTCTTTTCCTTTTGAAATTCTCTTCAGAAAACTCCAGTCCAAGGTAAGAGAGAATGCATGCATTCCACACTTTCTTGAGGCCTTAAAAGGCCAAGTGGATTAACACGCCCCTGAAATGTGATCTCAAGGCTTTCAAAGGAGCCAAGGGCAAAAAATGCCTCTAGAAGCAAAAGCAGCAATATATCAACAGGTAACTGCCAGAAATTCAAGCTGGATTCAGAAGAGGATGTGGAATGAAGGACAATACTGCTGATGTCAGATGAATCTTAGCTGAAAGCAGAGAATGCCAGAAAGATGTCTATCTGTGTTTCATTGACTATGTAAAGACATTCGATTGTGTGGATCATAACAAATTATGGATATCATTGCAAAGAATAGGAATTTCAGAACATTTAACTGTGCTCATATGCAACCTGTACATAGATCAAGAAGTAGTTGTTCAAAGGGATACTATATGTGTGGTTATATATCAGGAAGGGTGTGTGTCACACTTGTTTCCTTTCACCATACTTGTTCAATCTGTATACTGAGCAAATAATCCATGATGCTGGACTATATGAAGAAGAAAGCAGCATCAGGATTGGTGGAAGATTCATTAACAACCTGCAATATGCAGATGAACTACCTTGCTTGCTGAAAATGAAGAGGACTTAAATAACTTACTGATGAAGATTGAAGACTATACAGCCTTCAATTTAGATTACAAATCAACATGAAGAAGACAAAAATCCTCACAATTAGACCAATAAGCAAGATCATGATAAATGAAGAAAAGATTGAAGCTGTCAAAGATTTTATTTACTTGGATCCACAATCAATACCCAGTAGTCAAGAAATCAAATGAGAGATGCATTAGGCAAATCTGCTGCAAAAGACCTTTTTAAAGCAAAGATGTCACTTTGAGGACTAAGGTACACCTGATACAAGCCATGGTATTTTCAATCACTTCATATGCATGTAAAAGCTGGACAATAAATAAGACTGAAGAAGCATTGATGCCTTTGAATTATGATGTTGGCAAAGAATATTAAATATACCATGGACTTTAGGGGGAACTCTGGTGGCATAGTGCCTAAGGCATTTGACCACTAACCAGAAGGCGGTTCAAACTCACCAACCACTCCTCAGAATAAAGATTGGGCAATCTACTATCATAGAGATACTGCCTTGGAAACCCAAGGAGGGGTCACTACAAGTTGGAATCAACTCGATGGCAATGAGTTTGGTTTTCTATCTTTCTTTTTCTTTTTACCAGCAGAATGAACGTATTTGTCTTGGAAGAAGTATGGCCAGAATGTTCTTCAGAAGCAAGGATGGCTAGACTTATCTCATGGACTTTGACATGTTATCAGGAGGGGCTAGTCTCTGGAGAAGGATGTCATACATGGTAAAGTAGAAGATCAGTGAAAAAGAGGAACACCTTCAATGAGACATAACAACTTTTGTGAGGATAAGAGCTCTGGTGGTGTAGTGGGTAAGGCATTTGGTTGCTAACCACAAGGTCGGTAGTTCAAACCTACCAGCTGTGCTGTGGGAGGAAAATGAGGTAATCTATTTCCATAAAGATTTACAGCCTTGGAAACACAATGGGAGTTGCTATGAGTTGGAATAGACTCTATGGTAGCGCGTTTATTCTGAGGATGGTGCAGGACTGGGCAGTGTTTCATTCTGTTGTGTATGGGGTTACTACGGGTTGGAGCCAACTTGATGGCATCTAACAAGAAGAAGAAGAAGAAGCAAAAGCCCAGAGCTGCTTCTTGGAAGAGTTCTTTAAGTCTGGGTCTTGGGAGGAGGAAAAAGAAGGCCAGCCGTGCATGGAATGAGAGGTGGTAGAGAGGCCCTCAACCACTCTAGTCAAGCAGGGAGCTTGCTTTCCTCTCAGCCACCACCATAATAGGAGGAGTGGAATTCCAAGGCATAAACACAGAGCATTAACAAAAAGTGCTAGTGAGAAATTTCAAGGGGCTGGGGTGAGCTGAGCGGGAAGGAGGAAGGATTGGAATGAACAGCCTATTTTTAGAATCCAGCATTTACATAATAGGGCTCTGCAAGCCAACTCTTGGGTGAAGTGGGAAGCTGCCAGAGGCCAAATTTATAATCCATGCCAACTCTCTCCTGAACCTCTCACCACTGCAGCCAGCCCTTGGTAGTGGTGGTGGGGAGCCAGGGTCAGGGAGGGTAGGCAAAGTGGGAGCCTGTGAGGTAAGGCCTCCTTCTCATGTGTGCAACTGGCCTCTTGTAAATACAAGCCTAGAACAGCAGTTGTACAGCGGTTGTTGTGGTACAGAGGGGGCTCTTCAAGGGCTGTGAACCTTTTCTAGACCCAGCCCTTTGTTGGAATGGCCTGGGGCCCTGTACTCACTGGGCTCTTCTTCATTCGCTCCACCAGGTCCCGAGCCTGGGCTGGCATATCCCTAGGCAGAGGGATAGAAGGGGAGGTCACAGCTCGCTCAAGAGCAAGGGTTCATGTTGTGGGATTTTGGCCTGGGAAGAAAGGTACTTTGGTGGGGGTAGGGAGGTGGGGAGAAGGAAACATCAAGAATATACTGAAAGGCCTAGTAATAAACAGCTGGCAGGGGCCTTGGTGCCACAATGGATGCAGGCCCTGTCACAGGATCTTCTGTATCCAAACCACCTCTTTTGTAGGGATACCCAGTCCTCTTTGACCTCTTGGGTTGGACTTTGGTCAACCTTCCCATCAAGGATTCTCCTTGTGTTTTTTCAAGCTCTTTCATTGCAAGCTAAGCTCATTCATTTCTTATTCTGTTGCCTGTTTTAAAAATAACCTTTTGTATATTTGAAAAAAAAAAAAAAAAAGTCACAGCCCTAAATTATCCCTCAGCTCTCTTTCCCTTTAGGCTTAATGACTCTTTTAACCTTTACTTCTGGGCCCTACTTTCTGCTCCTTAAATCCCTGGGTTATTCCTCTCTGTAGTTACTTCAGATTTCCCTACCATTCTCTATTACTCCCCACTAGCCCCACCTTTTCTTCTGTCCTCCCAACAAAATATGGACAGGATTAGTTCAGTGCAAGTTTTGTTGCTTGCCTTCTATGAAGGAGACCTGGGTTTGATTCCCAGCCAATGCACCTCATACGCTGCCGCCGCCTGTCTGTCAGTGGAGAACTGTGTGTTGCTATGATGCTGGGCAGTTTCAGCTGAGCTTCCAGACTAAGATGGACTGGCAGAAAGGTCTGGAGATCTACTTCTGACAACCACCCAAGGGAAATCCTATGGATCACAAAGGTCTGGTCTGCAACCATACAGGGGGATGGGATGTTCCGTTGTGCATGGGGTCTCCGTGAGTCAGGGCTGGCTCAATGGCAGCTGAAAACAAAGTTCTCTCTTCACCCCCCAGATGTCTGCCATAAGTAAAATGGTGTCATTTGGTGTTCTAGATAAGAGATATTGTATGTCGATGGAATACTACTCAGCAATAGAGACAAAAACTCCTCCAAACTCACTGCTATCGAGTCGTTTCCAACTCATAGCAATCCCCCATTGAATTTTGGAGGCTGTAAATCTTTATGGAAGTAGATTTCCCAGCAGTCTTCCTTCTGCAGAGCAGCTGGTGGGTTTGAACTGCTGACCAGTCAGTTAGCAGTCAAGTGCCTTATCCACTACACCACCAGAACTCCTAGCAATAGAGAGGAATGAACTATTAATACACACAGTATATGGATAAAATTTGAAATAATTTTACTAGGTGAAAGAAGCCAGACCCCCCCCCCCCAAAAAAAAAGAGTATATACTCTATGGTTCCATTTATATATAATTCTGGGAAATGCAAGTTAATCAATAGTTGTCTAGGACCCAGAGGTGATGGGATAGGTGAGATAGGGACAGGGAGGGGCAGGAGGAAGGATTACAAAGGGCCATGAGGAAACTTTTAGGGGTGAAGGATATGTTTATTATTAGTGATGGTTTCACAAGTGTAAAATACATGGAAACTTACCAAGTTATATACTTTTAATTTGTGCACTTATTGCTTGCCAATTATACCTCAAAAAGGTTTTTTTTAAAAAATATATGTACATGAGAAAAGTTGTATCAGCAAAGGGCAGCCAATGGAAGCTGCTGTAGAAGTCATAAAATCAGCAACATTTTCCATGTTTGTATGCTCATGAGCTGGGCACAGAGCCAAGCACACATGGTGCCATCTCTGCTCTTGCTTCTCATTAAAAAGAAGCCATACCTGTAGGATTGTATCACATACACTATTGCTATTGATAGTTACATCAGAGAGCTCCAGAGAAAGCCTGTCCTGGTTAAAAGTGATCACAGAAGTGCCTATAACATTTTAATACTTTCAAGACCTGAGAAATTCATGGGTGATGAGCCCTCATGGGTCTCAGGGAAGTTAGGAATGCTTTCTTACTCCCCTCTTCCTAGCTTTGTTCTTCAGGCTTAGATCAAGCCCTGACTCCTGTGCTAGCTCATTCATCCATAACTCCTGCATTGCCTTTACTCCTGGTGGGAGGAGTCCAGGACTGGGAATCATGGCACCCAGCTTCTACATTCAGCTCTGCCACTAACTTGCTGTGTGGGCTTCCATAAGTTGCTGCATCCTGCTGTGGCTGAATTTTGTCATCTTTTAAAGGAAAATTTGGACAGGATGATTTCTGGGGTCCCTTCCAGGTCTGCATCTGTATTTAGACTGCCCAGTTCACACTTTACACTTTTCTGTTCTCTTAGTTTTAGTTGATGACTAAATGCCAAATTATTTCAGTCTGCAGTGTTTCCTTTCACAATGCAGACTTTTTCCAAAAGTTATTTCCTATTGGTCTACTTTCCTTAAATAGATTGCAAGCTCTTTGTGGGCAAGGGAGTTTGCCTTCTGATTTTTTTTTTTTTTTTTTTTTCATTTTAGTCACCAACATGGGCTGAGTCCTTGGCAGGTGTTCAATAAGTTCTTTCTTATTGGTTGATCAAAGAAGATTAGAATAAAACTTTGAACTAAATATCCTAATAATGGTAAACATCTTTTTGTGTTTGCTTACTGTGTATTATATACTGTACTAAGTGCTTTTCATGGATTATCATCTCATTTAATTATTCTGATAGTCCTGAGAGGCAGGTATTATTATTATTATTATCCTCATTTATAGATGAGGGCTGCCACCTATCTGTTTGCCATACAGTGGTGGTTCATGTGTAGCTATGATCTGAAGCTATGCCACTGATATTTCAAAACCAACTGGGTCACCCATCATGGGAAGGCTTCAAGGGAGCTTCTGGACAGAGACAGACTAGGAAGAAAGACCTGACAATCTACTTCTGAAAATTAGCAAAGAAAACTTTATGGATAGTAATGAAGTCAAGGGGCGCCCTCAGTTAGATTAATTGACACAGTGGCCCAAACAATGGAATCAAACATAGCAACGATCATGAAGATGTTGGAGGACTGGGCATCATCTTGTTCTGTAACATGTAAGGTCACCAGAGGTTGGAGCTGACTCAACAGCAAGTAGCAACAACAACATAGATGAGGAAACTAAGAATCAGAGATGCTGAATGACTTCCCCAAAGTCACATACCTATTAAGTCTTAGAGCTGGGATTTGGACACAGAGCTCATTTTACTTGCTTGCTTTGGTATTAATATTTCTTGTTAGGTGAACTCATCCTTATCCAAGCTAATAAACAGAGTTCAGACAAAGGGAAGTCATAGAATAGTTCTCCAATCTTACTTAAATCAATGCTTCACTCTCTTTTTCCCCTAACACTGGACACCAGAGATACTAACAAGGTTTCAGCTACTCTCCCTGACACTGATTCCACTCTGGTGGAGGCCCCAGGTGCTAGAAAAGGCAGCAAGAGAAGTGAAAAGGGAAAGGGCTTAAATGACAATAGATTGAGGAATCAACCTCTGATTTATGACGCTTGGGCTATATGCTATAATAATAATAATAATAATAATAATAACAAAATGATGATGATAATAACAGTAATGGTAATAACAGTAATTAGATGTTGATATAATGGCTCCACAAAGTAGAAAAATAAGTTCCTCCTGCTTATGATGTTGAGGAACTGACATAGCTTCCTGTGGCTGGAAGATGCAAACTAAGCGTGGGGCCCACATTACTGTGTCTGAAAGGAATGCTTCCTGTAAACACAGTAAGCCAAGTTGGTGTCGTTTCCCTGGTGATGTGAGCGTAGCAATACTTCTACAAAGCAAATACACAGCACGTTCCATGCAGAAAATCAATGAACTCTGTCAGGCATTTCAGCTTTAATTATCTGGCTTGTTGTTGACAACAGAAATCTGAGAGAAAACAAACAGCCACTATGCTGTTTTTTGGGGGGCCTTAACATCTAACTCCCTCGTGTCAAAACATAGAATCTTCTTCAGATTAAATAAGAGGTTCCAAGGCATGAGGGGGAGGGAGGGAAGGCAGACATCCACTCGGGGAGGGGATCATGTAGTGAGTGAGTTCTCAGGATTTTGAGAGTCACCCCACATACTTGACCTGTGCCTCTTAGATGCACGGAGGGCAAGCTGAGTCAGCTAAGCCTCCATGACTACTCAGGGACAGTGCCTGGGGCTGGGTAGGACACACTTCAGGCTGAGCCACATCTGAGTGCTCTCTCCTGAAGCTATGACAGCACGGCAGTCAGAGGGAAAGTCTGGATTTAGGTGTGACTGGGATTTAGGCTCCTTTGATAACTTGCTTAGTGACCTTGGACCATTAAGGACACTTTCTGAGCCTCAAAAAGAGGAAAACCAAACCCACTGTCATCTAATAGATTCTGACTCGTAGCTACCCTATAGGACAGGGTAGAACTGCCCCATAGAGTTTGCAAGGCTGTAAATCTCTACAGAAGCTGACTGCCTCATCTTTCTCCCACAGAGCAGGAACGATGGTCCTTTTGGTTAGCAGTCCAATGCTTTAACCACAGAACCACTAGAGCTCCTTTTCTAAGCCTCAGCGTCCTCAAAATAGTGCCTACTTGGAAAAGTATGAGGACTACATGAGTGGATGGTTTGGTCTTTTGGTCCTGACTTTGCAAGCAGGACCACATCTGAGGCCAATAAATGGGGCCTGACCCCACTAAGAGGGATCACCTGGGGGCCTGATGCTGACTAAGCCTCAGGAGGCCCTTGCTGAGACCAATTAAAGTCTAGGAAGCCAAGGGTTCAGTGGAGTTTCTTGGCTAGAGTGTGAACATCTGGGTCTCAGAGGCAATGTCCCTTGGGAACGTAGAAGCGCTGTGCTGAAAAACATGCTTCCCCCATCCTGACCTCAGCCCTGGGGATACACACTGCCATCTAGTCGGATCTGACTCATAGTGACCCCTCCTTGGGTTTCTGAGGTGGTATCACTATGGAAGTAGATTGCCCAACCTTCCTTCCAAGGAGTGGCTGGTGGGTCTGAACGGCCAGCCTTCTGATTAACAGTCAAATGTCTTAGTCACTATGCTACCAGAGCTCCTGCCCAGGGGATAAGAGACTGAAAATTCATCAGAAGGCACTGGCACCAGAGGCAGCAGAAACCCTGGATGCTATAAAGGCAGAGCCAGGAGAAACAGCAGCAGAGGCTGGGAGAAGCTGAAGCCAGTGTCTGCTGAGCAGAGAAGTGGCAGCAAAGGGATCTGAGATGAGTAGGCTTAGAACTAGTGACATGTTTTGGGCTGTGACAACAGTCATCAGCAAACCTAGGCTGAGGCAGAAACCCCATGTGGAGGTACATGGGCCTGTCCAGGGTGCTAGGGAGCCTGTCCACACCCTGTGTAAGGGTTACCCTCAGAGTAGTTCTGCTTTGAGAGATGCTGGACCATGACTGTTCCAAGGCTGCTGGTTGAGAGCTGGACCAGCAGTAAGGAAGGGGACAGAGTCAGCCAAGAGATGTGTCTGTCCAGTGACATATGAGTAAACATTGATTTCTCACCATGAAACTGTTATTTAAGAGTGAATATTGATTTCTATAAGGAGCTCTCATGGTGTAGTGGTTAAGGCATTTGGCTGCTAACCAAAAAGTATGTGGTTTGAATCCATCAGTGGCTCTGTTGAAGAAAGATGAGGCAGTCTGCTTCCATTAAGATTTACAGCCTCAGAAACCAAATGGGGTTGCTGTAACAATAGTCGGAATTGACTAGATAGCAGTGAGTTTGGGTTTGGTATTGATTTCTATGTACTGTTTGCTATCTGCTTTCTTTGTGTTAATGCTCTGGGAGCATCTTGTGTGTTCTAGCTCTGATTGGATGAATGTGATATTATTAGTGGACAACCTGTGCTTATGCCACAGTAATAAATTTGGACTGTTTAACATGATGGGTGGCTGAGTGCATCACAGATATAGTGTGTGTGCACTGCAATGAGATAACCCATATGGAAGGTTCAGCACTGGGCTTGGCACCCAGGAAGTTCTCTGTACATGACTAGGCTCCCAGACACCACTCCTCTCTCCTCCTTCTGTTACCCACCCTGATCTCCCGGCTGTGTCCTCCACTCATCTCCCTCTTGTGCCAATGTCTACTCACCGAGCTCTGGCCCCGTCTGCTGCTACATTCAGCCCTGCTGTCTCCTCCTGGGTACCAGTAGAGAACCCAAGGATGTGAGGGTTGAACATCTTCAGAATGTCTTTAAAGAAGAGTAAAGAGGCAGAGAACACAAGTGAGAGGCAGCAGAGGCCCCATGGGAAATGAGGTGGGCATGCAGTGTTGGAGTAATGCTGTGGTCATGAGGGTTTGGGTCTTTTCAGGGTTGGCTGACTTCCCTCCTTGCAGATAACCTTCTCCAGGGGGAAGGGCTGGCCTCACTAAGGGGTTATAGCTATTGTGATGGTTCTCACCAGGGTTACTACTTACTGGGCAGTGTGGTGTGGGTCTTCAACACCCCATCCCCTCCAATGCTGGGGAAGAGAAAGCACATTGTTAAATCCACCACTATGTACTGTGCCCCTGGTATATCATTCCCATCACCCCTAGGACTAGCACAAGGATCAGGACATCTCCCTCTGTCTCAGCATTGCCCTGTGGGGACCCAATCTCCTCTCTGAAAGGGTGAGGGGGAAACATACCACCATGCCTGTTTGGGGAGTATTGTCAATAGAAAATGAGTCAGGAACATCCTCACCTCCAGGAGAGTCCCCTCCAGGACATGAGTTGGTCACTAGAGTTGCTTGGTCGGGCTCCCACTGCTGTCTATGAAAGGCAAAGAGAAGGTTCTGGGCCTGAGGTACAGGTTGAAGGTGTGGAAAAGTCCCTTTTGCCTTGGCACAGGGCCTGGATTTGGCTTTTTCACTGACCTTTTTCCAGACTGCCAGACCCTTAAACTCTGAGTCATCTTGACATATTCTTCTCCTTAATCCCTTACACACAACACAATAATCAAGTCCTATTGACTTTTCTTCTTAACACCACCCCTTTCTTTTTCTCCTTTTGCCACATTCCTAGCAGGCTGTCATCTCCTCACCATGGATGACACTCAGGCCTCCTAACTAATCTCAGGGTCTCTAGTCTCTGTTCCATTCTCACTGATAGAGCGACCAAACTGCTTTTCTGAAAACACTTCTTTTTCATGACACCCCCCTACTCTGACCTTCAATGGGTCTCCCTTGACTACAGGGTCAAAGTTAAGCCCCTTCACCAACATCTGGAAGCACCAGAATCTGGCTTCCACTTTCCTTTCTCCTTTTCTGTCCACAGAAACTTTCAGCTCCAAGTGGATGGATCCGATCACCATTTCTGAAGCACGAAGATCTTGGCTGACTTGTCTCCATTATCATTCACTCTGTCCCTTCCTAAAATGCTGAGTTCCCTCTTTTCCATCCTTGAAACCTCTGATTCATTCTCTTAGACTCTTGTCAATTCTTACTTCTTCTATAAAATTTTCTCTAAACGCCCTGCCTAAAAAAAAAAAAAAAAAAAAAGAAAGAAAAAGAGAAATTCTTCTTAGATACTTACAAAAGGAACATGTTCACCAAAACAATACAAGGATTTTTTTGAAAAAATGATAATCTAAAAAAAAAACCTGATAATCTATCCACCTTAAAAATCTTATCCTCACCACTGGATCTGTGTCTTCTCCTTGCCTCTCACACTCAAACATACACAAATAGAGCTAATCAGTGGTTAACAGCCTGGTGTGTATCCTTTCAGTTTTCTCTGTGTTCATTCCAAAACAAAACACACTGACACAATATGGGGGTGTTGCTTGTCTTCACAGAAATGAAAATCCTATCTTTTTTTTTTTTTTATTTCAAAATGTATTATACAATATTTCAAACAGAAACAAATATTAGTACAGTGAACCCCCATATGCCCATAGCCTAGCTTCAAAAACTATCAACTAATGGCCAGTAGTATCATTAAGTAAGAGGGAGGAAAGCACAGTTCAGGAACAAGTTGGCAAACTAAAGCTCAGAACTGATGTCCAAACGAAGTGACCCAGACACCACCTTCCCGGGTGGCAGAGCTTTTCCTTCCCCTGGCTGTGCAGGAGAGGGAGCGGCAGCCACAGTTCTGCCCCCTTGGACACTCCTTCCAGTCCCACGCTCTGTTTCCAATCTTGTTTCTTAGATGACATTGTTGGAATCGGGAATTAACATTATCACCTATAAGTTATTAATAGAGTGGAAGTTATTAAGTGAAGAAAAGGAATATTAGGAGTACTGGCTTACCTTGTGGTGCAGGAAAATGGGATTACAAAAAAACAAAACAAAAAAAAAAACCCTATGGGAAGGAATCCCACTCCTGTCCCTAAGTAATTTCTTCATAAATTAATCATTATTTCTTAACATAAAAGATAAGGGAAAAACTATGGTGGAAAACTGTGTAAGACTTAAAAAGTTGAGTAGAAGAACCAGAGTTGTGTTTTATTGTTCACTTTCCCCCTTACTTTCAATCTTTCCCTTTTCAAACTACAGGCAAAAGCTCCACCACCATGAAAGGTATTGCTTATCCTATTAATCTGATTCTTTTCTCTTTTGGGTTCTAAAACCTCAGTTCTTTTTTCAGTCCAACAGTTCCTGTGCTTGATACTGTGGGGTAAAGGGAAAGAGAGGAGAAAACACCAAATTAAAAACTAAGCTTGGACTGAATGCAGGCTTGAGCTGACACTGAGCATGTTTCTTCATAGTACAAGTAGAATGTTATAAGTATCAAATGATGTTTTACTAACTGATGTATTTCTGGTTTCCATGTACTTATTCTGCCTTTTTTTGTGTGTGTGATTCCTGGGAAGTTTTTTTTTTTTTTAATTTTTTATTGTGATTTGGGTGAAAGTTTACAGAGCAAATTCATTTTCCATACAGTAGCTCACATACACTTTGACTCATGACATTGACTGCAATTTCCCATAATGCAACAGCTCCTTTCCCACTTCCTTCCCATAGTTACCTCTTCCCTGTGTCCTACCCTCCCATGCATTCCTGCCCCCCCCCCAGGTGTCTCCCTGTGCATGCACAGCCCTTCTATTCTCTCATGATTGATCTCTCCAAGGAGCGTATCTACCTAATGTAAACGTTCAGCTCCTATGTCTGTCTTTTGTTTGGCTGGAAGCCACAGGTGTGGGTTCAATTCCACACCTGAAGGGCAGCTAGGGGCCATAGTCTCAGGGGTTCCATCAGGCTCTATCTGACTAGCAAATCTGGTGGCCCCCTCCTTGGTTTTTTTTTTTTTTTTTCTTTTCAAGATTTTGAGTTTTCTTCCACATTATTCTCCTGCTCTATTCAGAATCTCCTACATAGATTCCCCTCCAAGTGGTTGACAATGGTAGCCAGGCACCATCTAGTTCTTCTGGTCTCATAGTTACATAGGCTGAGGATCCTGTGGTTTATCAGTTGCTTAGACTAATGCATCTTTGGTTTTCTTCATTCTTCTTTGGTCTGGACGAGGAGAGACACATCGTTGCATCTAGATGGCCATTCGCAAGCTTTTAAGATCCCAGTCACCACTCACCAAAGTAGGATGTGGAACAATGTTTTTGTGTAGTATGTTATGCCAGTTGAGCTTAATGTCCCTTGCAACCATGGTCCCAAGCCCATAGGTCCAACTACTTGCTCCCTCTGGGTAGCTAGCTATGGCCAAAAAGTGACTACAATCTTGTTTGATTCCAGGGAGTTTTGCTTGGATCTTTTCAACAGCCTTATTTTCCACTGATACCCTATTTTTAAAGTCCTGTATGTTACTCAGATGACAATGTATCTTTTTCTGTACAAACATTTTGTTTTCCCAACTGGACACATTTCTTGTGGGCCATGAATGTGTCTCACACTTCCTTTCCCTCAGGATTGCTCACAAAGTGTTTTGCACAAAGCAATGGTTGAATAGTTGGCTAACTCAATTCATTTCATGAGACTGTGCTATATGCCAGGAATTGGGCTCCCTCTGTCACAAAGAATACATCCTTAAATGGAGGGAGGGCATTGGCAATGTGTGGAAAAGACCTACTACTCTGTGAGTCTGGGTAGATGGAAATTAGTTCTCAGATAAAGGCCAACAGACTTGGATAGGTGCTATAACACTCACATGGAATGCCTGGAAATGGTGGAGAAGGTGGAATTCTTTCTATCTGAGAACTGAGGTGGCTTTGTGATAGAGGTAATGTTCAGTTGGACTGTGGAAGGATGAAGCAATAGGGTGTCCTAAGTTGCCTGGTGGTTTCTCTTGGCTGTTGGGCTGCATTTTAGTCCCTGACACTAGTAAAACCAAAAATATCAAACCCATTGCCATCAAGTCAATTCCAACTCATAGCATTCTTTTAGGACAGAGAAGAACTGCCTTATAGGGTTTCAAGGCTGTAAATCTTCATGGAAGCAGACTGCCTCATCTTTCTCTCACATAGCAGCTGATGGGTTTGAACTATTAAATTTTTGGTTAGCAGCCAAATGCCTTAACCATCCTTGGCTCATAGCTCAGTACTCACAGTCAGCGAGTCGCCCAGGGCGGCCACCACTTTGATGTCTGCTGGTTGGAGCTTGTGAACTAGGGAAGAAAGGCAAGAAGGTTCAGGTGGTCTTCCTTTTAAGCTTTCCCAGGAGTCTTTGACTTCACCTATTTCTCTCCTAAGACTTTAGCAAATTTGCTTTTTCTAAATTCATTTGGTGAAAACAAGGCACTGAAGTAATGGACTTCATGACTATTGCTCATCCTGAGAGGAGCCCAATTCACACTGAGGTGCTCTAGGAAAGTTCTAGCTGTAGGGGTCATGCAGAAGGGGAGCTATGACCCTAATCCTGACTGTACCCATCTCACTGAGCACGGAGGCCTCGGGGACTAGAATGAGGACTACATGGAAATGAGAAGTGTGATCTGGTGGATAGACCCGGGCCCCTTGGCATGGGAGCCCAACAATGGCTAAAGTTCATCTTCTTGTGGGCTGCTAAGGATCACAGGAATCAGCAAGGCCAGCTCAGAGCTCCATGGTGTGTTCATATGGTCTCCCTTTGACCAGACATTTAGCAAGGCCCCTGAATGAAGGGGATGATGATGTTTTCACTCACCCGAGGTGGGAACACTGTTAGAAGGATTCCATTCCGTACACAGGAATTCACTGCCCCAGTTCTAAATCAGGGAGAAAAGACACCCAACACTCATTGTGCAGGGATTAAGCTTCAGCCTGAGATCTAAGGTATTTTTGGTGGAATCTGGAAATATGTCACTTAGGAGAACTCGTGAAGCTAAGAACTTTTAGTTGTAGTTGGATTGAGAGCCTTTCCAATCCCAAGTTATCTATTCTCTTAAATGGAGGCAGCAGCTACTCCAAAACAAAACCCACTGCTATTGAGTAGGGTCATAGAGACCCTACAAGACAGAGTAGAACTTCCCCATAGGGTTTTCAAGACTGCAAATCTTTCTCTCACAGAGTGGCTGGTGGGTCCAAACCACTGACCTTTTGGTTAGCAACTGAATGCTTTAACCACTGTGCCACCAGGGTTCCTTGCAGCTACTCCAAAACAGAGGAAAAAAGAGCAAAGTCTAACTACAGCTGCTCTCCCAAAGGAACACAGGAGGTGGAGATTCTATATGGTTTTTGGTGGTTGTATTTAACATTAATCTAATTGACACTAATCATAGTGCTATGGCCTAAACCATAATTAGTTAAAATATTTTTGGGAAATCAACATGAAATTTGTACAATTGCAAAGGTCCTGGTTTCTGTATGTATTTTTGTACATGTATATATCTTTTGCATATTTAATTTCAGAGGTACCAATTCCTTGGATGTGTATAAAGTAAGTCTGCAACATGGGATACCTTTAACAGTAGTTTAGTCTAGTCTCTGGAAGCACAGAAATGGCTAGTACCTGAAAGATGAGGAGGAGACAATTGCTTCCCCAAAGTTCCAAGTATCTGTGTATCCCCAGAAAGGCTTGAGGGACGAAGCTTAGTCCTGAGGACACAGTAAGGCTCAGCAGATAGGTTGGCTGGTTTGCTGATCCTCTAGGACTTTAATCACCAAATGCCTTTGAAAGCTCATCTCCTCTCAGTCAGATGACCATTTAAGACAAGACTTATTAAAATAATAATATTATAAGGAACCAAAAATGAAATTCATTTTAAATATAATTTGCTTATTGTAATGTAATTTAGTTTTTTCCAGGCGATTGTTCAATTATCACACTGATGGAGTCCTTCTTCTGTTAGAAAGGTCTACTGAAATCAAGAACATACTTGTGTGCAGATGACAAATATTCAGGGGAAATGCGATTTTTAAACAAGTTTAATGCCCTGAGCACTTAAAAATATCTCAGGTAGTTGGTGAGCCAGGGACAAGCATTTTCCACATAGATTAGCATACACAGGTCTGGGTTTGAGCATGCTCAATTGTCACAAGGGAACAAACACATCTGAATCCCCTGGGAATTTTGTTAGATTGCAGATTCTGATTCCATAGGGCTGGGATGGTGCCCAGGACTCTGAATTTCTAACAAGCTCCCACATAATGTTAATGCTGTTTGTCTGTATCTACTTTGAGTAGTAAGATATTGAACAAATCTCCAACCCAGTTACCAATAAGTAGACTCTGACTCATAGCAACTCCATGTGTGTCAGTGGAACTGTGTTCTGTAGAGTTCCAATAGCTGATTTTTTTTTTTTCTTTCCTGGATGTAGATCACTAGACCTTTCTTCCAAGGTGTCTTTAGGTGGACTCGAACCTCCAACTTCTCTTTTAGTAACTGTGCACATTAACTGTACCACCAAATGATTCCAAAAATCTCCTAGGTCTGGGTTTTTAACTTATACAGCATCAGAAGCAAAGATACATGAGACTCTAGGAACCAAGAGAGCAGGCCCAGACTAATTTTGCTCACCATGGTGTACTCAGCACTTAGCACAGCGTCTGCTCCATTTAGGCATCCAATAAATAATTGTGAAATACATGCATACATACATTCATACATACAAGTCCCTGGGTAGTGCAAATGGTTAAGTGCATAGCTACTGCTGGATTGAACACAGACATATATACAATTGAGAAGACATATCTGACATATCAATTACAATAGCCTTTTGAGAGTCTAGAGAGAATGACTGTACAGCTCCCAACTATGAAGCTTTCTTCTCACCAACTCTCCTGTATAGACCTTCATCATGACACTTTTTTTTTTGTTTCGTTGGTTGATTTTCATTTGTTTGTTATTTATGTTGTTAGTTGTTATTGAGTTGATTCCTACTCACATAACCCCATGTGTGCAGAGTAGAACTGTTCCTTAGGGTTTTCAAAGTCATGACCTTTTAGAAGCAGATCTCCAGGCTTGTTAGAAAGGTGCCTTTGGGTGGGTCCGAACTTCCAATCTTTTGGCTAGTAGTTGAGCGCTTAACCATCTGTGTTACACAGAGACTCCACAACTTTCCTTTTATTGCTTAGAAACAAACCATGACCTCCCAGTGCTAGAAGTTCTCACTCCTCTGTTGTGTTTTGAGGCCCTTCATCATCATTTGGCCCTTCACTACTCATCCATCTCCTCCCCTACTCTACTTCTGAATAAACACCTTTCACTCCCTTATGTAATTGGTCTTCTTCTAGTCTCCACTGCTACCCTCAGAGCTGTGACTTTTTTCCTGCCGCTGTATCTATACTCATGCTGATTCCTTCCTACTCCATCCCATTCATCTATATCCTCTAATTCTATAGACTTAGCTCCAATCCTACTTCCTTTCTCTCTAGATCTGTGTGCTCTCACTTCTCCCAGCACCAGACTCCTATCATTGCTTATACTCCACATCTCAGCATCAGTTCTTCATTGATTTCATATAGGTTAGTTTCAGTTCTTGAAATGGATTATAAATGGCCTGCCTTCAAACACTCCTGCTGCTTTCCACCCCACTTGCCATGTAGTAGTCAGGGAGATGATTTGATCCAGATCATGTCATCCCCTACAATGGCTTCTTACCTTTCTTGACCTAAAATTCAACTTTCTTACTGAGGGACTCAGGCTCTGAATGATCTGGCCCTTGTCCACCCCTCTGATCTCATCTCTCCCACTCTCTACCTCATTCACATGCCCAACAATAGTGACTATCTTTCCTTCCTTCCTCAAATATACCTAAAGCAGCCCCCATTCTGGGCCTTTGTGCTCCCTGACCCTTCTCTCTGGTACTCTACCCTCAGGCTCTGCAGATAGCCAGTATCTTTTCATAATGCACACCTCATCACAAAGCTCACTTCCTCTGAGAGGCCTGGCCTGCACAATTAATGTGAATTTACTACCCTCTTCCCTTGTCTACAAGGAGCTCTGATAGCACAGTTGTTAAGGCAATCAGCTGGTAATCAAAAGGTCAGCAGTTTGAACCCACCAGCTGTTTCTTGGGAGAAAGATGTGGCAGTCTGCTTTTGTAAAGATTTATAGTCTTGGAAACCCTATTGAGCAGTTCTACTCCGTTCTATAGGTTTGCCATGAGTCGGAATGGACTCTATGACAGTGGATTTGGCCCCTGAACATAAAGAAAACAAAAGTCTTCACAACTGGACCAACAAAAACATCATGATAAATGAAGAAAAGACTGAAGCTGTCAAGGATTTCATTTTAGTTGGATGTACAGTCAGTCCCCATGGAAGTAGCAGTCAAGAAATCAAATGGTATGTTGCACTGGGCAGATCTGATGCAAAAGATCTTGTTAAAGTATTAAATAACAAAGATGTCACTATGAAGACTAAGGCATACCTGACTCAAACCTTGAAATTTTCAGTCACCTCAAATGCATGTTAAAGCTGGACAATAAATAAGGAAGACTGAAGGATTGAGACATTTGAGTTATGATGTTAGTGAAGAATATTGACTATACCATGGACTGCCAGAAGAACAAACAAATCTGCCTCAGAACAAGTACAGCTAGAATGCCCCTTAGAAGCAAGAGTGGTGAGACTTCTCATGTACTTTGGATATGTTATGAGGAGGGATCAGTCATTATGATGGAGATGGACATCATGGTTTGTAAAGTAGAGGATTGGGAGAAAGAGGAAGACCCTCAAGAAGATGGATTGAACAGTGATTGGGACAATGGGCTCAAACATGTCAACAATTGTGAGGATGGTCAGCACTGGCAGTGTTTCATTGTACATAGGGTGTAAATAACTTGACAGCACCTAACAATAACTTCCTTGTCACTCTCTCATTTTCCTCAGAGCTGTCCCCACTATGAAATGAAATGATCTTGTTTCTTTATTGTTTAAAGGTTTATTGGATATCTCTCCCAATTAGATTGTAAGCTCCATGAGGTCTGGGACCCATCTGTGTGGTTTACTGCTCTATCCCTGTGGAACAGTGCCTAGCACATAAACCAAAAAAACAAACTCACTGCCATCGAGTCGATCCCAACTCACAGCGACCCCCTTTGGGTTTCCAAAGTAGTAAATATTTATGGAAGTAGATTGCCCAGCCTTCCTTCCACAGAGTGGCTGGTGCGTTTGCCTTAGGTGCTATGCCACCAGAGCTCCTTGTCTAGCACATAGTAGGTGCTTAATATGTAGTTGTGGAATGACCTCTAACTCCCTGAGGGAAGGCCCATGCCTGATACTTCTCTGAATCTCCTCCAGTCCCTAGCACAAGATTAGACACACCATAGATGCTAAACTGACACTAGTGACTGGGCCCCTGTCCTAGTGGCCAGCAGATGTGGTCCAGCATCCTCCTTGAGTAGTCAAGTGTCTCCTGCAGTCCCTAAAGCCATAGACTCTGAATCCTTTGGGGTTTCCCCAAACTAGAATGATTGATTTGAACCAAATAAGCCCTGGGGGCTTGCCCAGATATATATCAGCTTCCTGTTGGGCCCAGTCCCTGCAATTGAAGGTCCTTCCCAATTGGCTTCCACCTTACAGGAAGTCGATGGTGCATTATATTCACTGACTCCCCTTCCCCTTTTCTCAAAAGGCTGAGCTTCCTAACCAAAAATGATGTCTCTGAGCACGTGGTTGCAAAGGTCAAAGAAAACTGATCTGTAGGCATTTCCTCCAGTTGGTTGCTGACATCAGGTAAGCATTTGTGGACATGTTGAGACAATCCTGGGGCTTTGTGGTTTGGGAACTTTTTTGTACATTCCAACTCCAAGTATGTAAGAAGTTGCTTAGGCTAACACTTTGAAACCTGTGCCACTGCCCAAGTCATCAGCAGGTGGAAATGCTTTGTGCCTGAGAGTGGGGCTGGAGGTTATTACCTCAATGGCTGGCTTGGTGGGATATGTGTAGTTGCTGTTCCGGTAGGTTCTCAGGAAGGGCTCATTCTAAGAGAGAAAAGAAAGGACAGGTTATCTAATAGCTTCAAAGGTGGCTTAGGAAAGATAAGAACTACCAATCCTGTTCTCTAGGTTTACTTAACATGATTCTTCTGAATTTAAATAGAAATAACTGTAAAAACATAATTTCATTCATTCCCTAAAAGATTTTACATAAGCTTTGGCTAGGGCTGCACAATAAAAGGCCCTAAAAAGGATTCAGTACGTGTTCTAAGCAGGGCTACACGTTTTCATTTTTGCCTGAGCAACTGACCATATCCCTAATTCTCAGAATTATCCATTTTCTTTCCTTTGTAATTTATCTGGCAAGGGTTTCATGTTTCAGCATTTCTCTCTTTTCCAAAAAGTTTTATTATGAATGTATTTTAACATCTGTTATTTCTTTTTGCCTCCTTTGAACTGAATGTCTGATCCCCTTCAGGTTGGTTTCATATACTTTGGCCAATTTTTCTCATGAAACATCCTCTTCATTCCCTATTCACCTATTTCGCAATTGGTTTTTCACACAAGCCCTGTCAAGAATCCAAGTCCATCCAGTTTCAGGTGATGGATTAATCAAAAAATGAAGAAAGTAGACAAAGGTGATATAGGGTGAAAGCAAGCTAATGAGAAAGTGTAAAAGTTATCGTACAGGAAGAACAAGTTATTAAGACTGGGATTAAGAAATACCAAAGCAGGCCAAGGACTGTGAACATTTTCACAAAACATTTCCAGTGGAGTAGAAGGGCTATGATCTGAAAATTTGGAGATAAAATGGGAATACAAAGGAAGAATCAGAACCTTTGAGAAGGGGTCCTTAGAGATCAATTCCCAAGGCCAAAAATTGATTGCACCAGGCTGAACCTGGCCAGGAGATGTTTTGTTTTGTTTTGCTTTATTTTAGCCAGGATGGTATTTAAAAGAGAAGAATAACAACCCCAAAGCTTTCAGAAGGGGAGAGCTCTCTTCAGTTCTGGCTCTACCACTTCTTTTTATCTCACACCTGACCTTATTCACACAACCATGCTCCACCTGGTGCTAGAAGAATCTGGCTTTGCAGTCCATGAAAGCTTCCATTTTATAGAGGTACAGCTGAGGCCCAGAGTGCGGCAGGGGCGTATTCCCAAGAGCAAGTGGTAAGTGCACAGCTGGGGCCAGGACTTCACCCAATAATCCTCTTGCCCATTTCCACTCCTCACCGCAGGGTCAGGCCAACAAAAGACCCGATTGGTGACACAAAGTGCAAAAGAAAGAGATGGAATCAGAAGTCACTTTGAAAAACAAGTGTATTTGTGCAAAGTACGCAGCCCCTAACACAGACTCTGGCTCCCTAAGGCTCCAGACAAGTCTCTTCTTCCCTCTGTCAGCATTCCTATCTGAAACATGGTCAGGAGAACATCCTTTCACTGAGACACATTCAGGGTCAAGGGAAGGAAGTTCATCCTGGACCATCCTCAATAGTGCAAGGCAGAAGAGGGCTGAGAGAGGCATGCCTGCTTGGCTAATTAGGCTTGTCCTTGGTTAGTGTTACCTAGCATACCCTGAATTTCACCTTCCTGGGAACATTCTATAAATAATGTTTGTTGAACATCTCATGTGTCCAGAGCATTTGTTCTGGGTGCTAGGAAGAGGGAATAGTAAGAAGAGGCTTACGACCTAGTCAAGCAGATAGACAGACATGAGCAGCTATAAGGCAGTGAAGCACCAGAGAATAATGCGTCCATGAGTGTAGTAGTTGCTGAGGAATGCCTGCAAGATCTCTCAAAGATGAGACTCAATGGTGTGTGTACACTAATTATTGTTTTCCTCCTACTTCAAGGGAGCCCTGACTAGGTTTAGGGTCTGGGGGCTGCAGCTAGTCCAGTGATTACCCAGAGTGATCAGCACAGGAAGAATCAGAAGGTAAAGACAACCCCTACCCTTGTGGGAGTGCTGAGAGTCACACTGGAGAGTCTTTTCAGTCACAAATTCAAGGGTTGGAGAGGGCCAATGAGGGGAGATTCAGCTAGAGGGGCCAGAGGTTCAGGCTGATGCTGAAATGCCATGGAGAGAGAAAGAAAACAAAAACAATGAGAACTGGTTCAGGACAGTGACTGGAAGGTGGAATGGGCTGCTCAGGGCTCGTTTTCAGTGACCGTTGACTGCGTGGTGCATGTATGAGTCAGAGTGGTTTAAAGACCTGGAGTCAAGCAGGTTATATGGTAGAGGCCTTTGATTTAGTCTGACTGGCTAGGCTTGTACTAGTAACTAGAAATGAATGCAGATTGAATGCCAGCGCAAGGAAGTGTTCTAATAGTTACAGCTGCGCAAAGTCAGTGTGGCTTGCCTTGGGAGGCAGTGAGATCCTATCTCCAGGCAGAGCCCAGACAACCACCTGATGTGAGTCAGCAATATAAATTGTTGGTTGTTGGGAAAAGGTCATGTAAATCTTGGCAGCATCACGAGTGTAGAGTTCTACAATGACGGAGTGATAATTTTGTTTTGTGCTGGTTGGACCAAACTGGGAGTACACAGCCAGGCCGGGGCACTAATGAAAGGGAACCATGTTCACAGAGAAATACCTGTACAAGACACTGGAAGCCATAACTGTGATATATGGCTGAGGGAACTGCAGTTGTTTAGTCTGGAGAGGAGTTGACTGTGGATAAGGTGTTGGTGGTAGGAAAGAGGAGTACACTACATGGATGCCTTCTGATATTTTCTGATTCCATTCCATTAAAAACTTAGAGTTTATGACCTACTATATTGATTCGGAAGGAAGGTTGGGCAATCCTACTTCCGTAGTGATACTGCCTCGGAAACCCAAGGAGGGGTCGCTATGAGTCAGGGCTGACTCGACGGCACATAACAACAACAACAACATATTGATTTCATAGCCAGTTAATGGTAGCCACTTGGCAGTTGAAAAGCACAGGCTTAAGAGAAAGTGGAAGCTTAGGCAGAAGCTAATGTGATGCCTTGGGAGGGATATGATATAAATTCAGTTATAATGAGACCTGTGGGTGGCACAAATGGTTTGTGTTTGACCACTAATGGAAAGGTGGTGCCATAGAAAAAAGGTCTGGCAATCTTCTTCTGTGAAGATAACAGACAAGAAAACCCCACAGAGCTCAGTTCTACTCTGTAACAAGTGGGGTCGCCATCAGTTGGAATTGACTCAGCAGCAATGGGTATTGCATCAACAATACTCCAAAGACTCTCCTGGCTGAGAATCTGTGGTTAAGCAATTCTTTGTTGTTTTATGATGAGGAAAGTAGAACCAGATAAACATTAACATACAAAGTGGTGAGGATCTGAGTTGGGGTGGTGGCAGTGGGAATGGAAAGGCAGGTAGATGGGAGGAGTTGGAAAGAATCCTATGGGATGGGGGCCTGAAGTTTCACACCTGTAGAACTGTAAAAACCACAATAACATTGACAGAAATAAGGAAGTTCCAAAGGGCAGAGAATATGAGAAGACATATTTAGTTCTCATATAAATGTTTGGCTGCTCAAAAATAACTTTTTGAATGAATGTTTATTGAGTTTGAGTTGATAATGGGGTCAGGGTAGTACTAGATTTAGAGGCCCTAAGCATTAAAAAGGTAATAGTGTCCCCACAAGTAATTAAAAGTAGAAACACTGCTAAGTAATTAAGTATAAGAGAAGGAAGTGAGGGGAAAGCTTGATTGGAACTTGGGACTTGATTTCAGGACATTTGGCTTCCTGTTTTTCTTTTTCTCATGACAAAAAGCTCGACAAAATATTATGTGAAATTATATCAGTCTCTCTTTTACTCTCTGGTTCTCCTGCTTTGTTGACACTCTCTGTCCATACATTTAATAAGCCTTTGTTCTGGAGTTTGGGAAAGAAGAAATGAAGTGCAAAGATCTTTAACAGGAAACAGTGGAAATGGGTACATCTCAGAGTGAGGGGATGTGGAGAGAGAGAGAAAAAAGAAGACGGCTAAGACATGAACACTGGAAAATGTCCCCGTTTTAGAGGTTGAGAGAGGAATGAGATGGGTCATTGAAAGAGACAAGGAGGGAGGACAGACAGTTTCTTCAAACCTAAGGAGTCACAGCCAGATGCCCCAGGTTAGGGAAAGAGTGGGTAGAAAGGCAATTAAGGGAAGAGCAGCCACAGTCCACAGAGTGGCGAGTCAAATGTTAGCTGTAAAATAATTGCCCAACCTTGAAGTACAATAGAATTTTATGGAGTGATGTCAAGTAGCTCTACCTGGCACAGCAGAATATAATTGTAATTTGACTGGGGATTGGGGTGGAGAAGGGAGGAGGCTGAGAAAACTCCTCACTGCTTCACATCCACCTTGGCTTCCTCCTCTCCCACTGGGTCCTGCCTGTTGCCTCTTGTCTCTATGTTTAGACACAGCTAGGACTAAAATACATGCTGTTTGGCCCCTGTTAGCTCACACTGAGATGCTAGTGGGCTTTTATATAGCTCCAAGACACATGGGAGGGAGCAGATGGGACCCACGGAAGGGAGAATGCCCGGTGAGTGAAGATGGGCTGGCCAACAGATGGACCCTTTTGGAATGGGCTCCAAGGGTTGCCTAGCAACTACATCTCGTGGGCTCTTCAACCAGTTCCAAGAGGCTAGAAATGCTCTCCTATGCTCATTGGTGGCTCAATCAGGCTCTATCTAGGAGGGAGGAGCTAAGCCCACTATGGTTTGAGATGCTTGGTGGAGGAACACCTTTCTGGACTTCCCATTTACTGTGGGACTGACAGTGGCAGAGGCCACCTTAGGCCCATAGTCACAGGGCTCTCCTTGATCCAGTGCCTAGGCTCCAGCTTAGTTCTTAATAAATGCTTCTTGGGAGAAAAAGCAAATGATAGCTCCCTTATATGGGTACTTGTAACTTCTGCTATTTAATAGAAGGGTGGTTGGTGGTTTGGAAAGGGTCTTCCATGGCTGATATTCAGTATGGCCATATAGGTGGTTGACATAATGAAATATTTACTTACAGTTTGATTTGTAGCTACTGCTCTGAGTCCCCAAAGGCCCACACTACCCAGGTGGCCAAATCCTCTTCCTAGGAATCCCTAAACATCCCTAGGATCTAGCAATTTAAGCTTTCACATTTGACACAGGAGAGACTTCTAGGACCTTGCCCCAGCCCTTTGGCCAACATCTGACCATTTGGACTGTAGGGCATGTTGCCTAGCTGTACCTAATTTTATTATTCCCCTTAGTCAAAGCACAGCATCAGCAATGGAGCCCTCTGCCAACTCTACTTACTTTCCCGCATCTCCCACATCTTTCTTGCTGCCACTCTTGCTTCCCGATGAGGTGATAATCCACAAGACTGGACCCAAAACTGAGTTTGGGAAAGCAACAGACAGAGAGCATGGTCCAGGGAACTCACTTTCTCAGGAGTCCTGTAGACACATGAGGGAGCTGCAAATCTATTCCCTGGCTGATGCAGCTAGACCCAGGAGGGAAACCTGGTCTCCTGGATTGGGTCAGGCCTCTCTGATTTTATGACTGCTCAGGGCTCTCTGGCCTTATTTGGCTAACCCTTTTATGGTCCATAAAATATGTATCAGCCACCAACATTTTCTGTGTGAGCTCTGGTGGCATAATGAATAAGGCACTTGACTGCTAACTGGAAGGTCAGTGGTTCAAGCCCACCAGCTGCCCTATGGAAGGAAGATGGGGCAATCTACTTCCGTAAAGATTTACAGCCCCAGAAACCCAAGGGGGTCAGTATGAGTTGGAAAAAACTCAATGACAGTGATTTTTTTTTTTAATAACATTTTCCGTCTCTCAGTTTCTTGGGAAGCTGTTATCCCAGTTATAGAATGTGCTATTGCCTGGTTGGGAGTTGCATAACTGCATGATTCTGAAGAAATGGCCTCACTCCACCAATCCTACCACTAGAGTCCACTTGGGATATATGTGCCCCCCATAATTGTATCAAAATCTGTATTACCTCAATTTTTCCCCTTGATTTCAGCATGACTTATATTACTGAGAACATATGATATCAACAACAAATTCAAAGCAGAAATAATTCAGTCATGAAAGGGTTAAAAACCATCTGTAGTGTCTAGAAAAAGGAAGCTCAATGAGAGGGGAAAATGAACCTGGCCCCAGTCCTAGGCTTGAAATAAAATTTAACAACCACTCACATATTCTTCCTTAAAAGGAGTCCCTAACTGAGTCCTCATCCCAGTTCCACCAGGCCAACACTACAGGCTCCTCCTTCGCCCAGTTTTCAGGCTCTCCACCTTGATGCTCCCATCTTTGACCATTCCCTGCTGGAAAATCCCCAAGTCAGGCTATTTGGTCTTTAACCACCACTTCTGAGCCAGGTGGCTCCTCATTGTCCCTTCAACCGGCAGTCAGACTTTTCCCATCTGCACCAAATGCCACTGCTAAAATGAGCCTTTTTGACTTTCTTCTGGCTTCTTGATTCCTCTTCTCAAGAACTCACCTCTCTCACCCCATCCTCTCCCAGCTAATTCTCTCATTCCCAAAGAAATAACTGCTCTGTGCCCTCTTCCCACCACTCTGAAGCCCATGTCCCACACCTACTTCACTGACATTGGTTCCCAGGTGAGTGGGGAAAGGTGGGTAATAAGGAAGCCTGGTGGTGAATGAAGGGAGAAGGACAAAGTCTGCACTCTGGTTTCTAGAGAGGGGCAACAACAGGTCCTCCCTTATTACCTGAGTAGGGCAGGAGAGAGAGATAGCTGCTGTCAGGTCCAGGGTATTCGTTTTTCTTCCTAGCGGTTGAAGCTGATGGGGAAGTAAAGAAAGAGATGGGTGTAGCAATTTATTTCCTCTGAAGTGAACATTCCCTGGCAGCCTCCTGCAGTGAGGAGAGCTAGGAACTTGATTTCATGGAGTCTGGCTTCCACTCCTGGCTCTGCTAGTTGCCAGCTGTGGGACATTGAGCAGGTCTCCTAGCTTCTTTGGGATTCAGCTTCCTCATAAACTCTGAATACATCCCTTGCAGGTCTGTTGAGAGACTTAAATGAGAGAACATGGCTTAAACTGCTTTGCACAGTTGTTGGCACATAGGAAATATTGAGTGAATATGAGGTTTCTGCCTTGAATATATATGGAGAGAGCTCCTCATCACAGTTCCAAATCCAGAGGAGATTAATGTGGGCTGAACAAAATCTGAAGGACTCCATATTTAAAGTTCTACAGACTTCTGCAGATCAACTAGCCCCTCTCCTCTACACCTTGTTTGCAAAGGAGACCCAGAACAAGGCTCCATTCTGTAGGGCTGGGAGGGGCTGGTCCTGTGCCCTGGATGAGAACCCACTGAACCAAGGACACTCATGCATTTTACCATATTGACCCAAAGGGCCCTGGAGAGCTGGGAGTGGAATTTCTGACTCGGATGGATGCAATCTGGGGCAAAGAAGGATGTATCCAGGCGGCCATCCTGAAGGAGAGAAACACCCTTCCTCAAGATCCTGTTGATCCCAGAGGGCCTGGATTGGCCTGACCCCTGGGACTGACCATTCAACACCTTCCTCCCCTCTGGAAGTGCTTGGGGTCATTATCCTTCCATGGGGCCTGATTACCTCAAGCTAAAGATCAGAGCAATCCCATAGCAGAAAACCTCAGTTGACCCCAAACCCAGGCCTTCTTACTGGTTCTACAATTTCCCCTTATATAATCAAAAAGCATCATATTTATATTTAGGAACATTCATATAATGTGCTAAAAACAAACAAACAAAAAACCCATTGCAGTTGAGTTCATTCCAACTCATAGTGACACCATGTGTTACAGAATAGAACAGCCCCATAGAGTTTCCTTGGCTGTCATATTTACATAAACAGATCACAGGCCTTTCTTCTGTGGCACCACTGGGTGAGTTCAAACTGTCAATCTTTACGCTAGTAGTCAAGCACAAACCATTTGCACCACCCAGGAACAACCTATGGCCCTAGCTTATGCTATAGGTAAGGAATGAAGTCCCTGTCTCTGAGGAAACCTGGTGAACCAGCTGAGAAAAGCCATTTCATAGTGCTTGGCCACCTGGTGCTGTGGTCTTAGGGGTGGTGCTGAGCATCTGGGCCCAGCCTTGAGACAGGCCTGGGCACAGCCAATACTAGGGTGTGTGTCCCCTGACCCCAGCCTCTTCTCTCTCTCTTAATATGTTCAGGGGCTCAAAGCTTCTCTCCTTCCAACTATCCTTTAGTTAGGAGAGGCCCTTAGGACAGAGGCCCTGGTAGACAGAATTCACCCTGGTCTACTCACAGATCTCTTCTGTTCAGAGTGGACCTGTCAGGTGAACAGCATAGCTATGTTGTAAACAGATAATACACAGACCCCTCCTTTATAACCAGAGTCATGTGCAGAAATAGAGTGTATATAGGGCAGAAAGTTAATCATTTGGAGTTACATTAGTATGTTATTAGTTGCTGTGGAGTTGGCTCTGACTCCTAGAGATCTTATGTATAACAGAACAAAGTGTTTCCTATTCCTGCAGCACCTTCATGATCGTTGGTGTGTTTGAGTTCATTGCTGATGCTATTTGTGTCAGTTCATCTCATTGAGTGGTTCCCTCATTTTTGTTGACCCTCTACTTTACCAAACATGCTGCCTGTCCATTCCTTATTACCTATATGACTTTAGGAAAGATATTTCACATATCTGAGCCTCTGTTATAGGAGGATAATAGTCATCTCCAAAAGTGGTTGCGAAGATTTAGTGTATGGAAAGCCCAGTGAGAGGCACATAGTAGGTGCTTGATAAAACAGAGGTTATTCTCAGTCATAAAATAAATTTGCCACATCAGACTGTGTCTGGGGATGCAGCCCAAATGTTCAGGAAGGCTGCATCCCCAGAACAGTATCTGGAAAGCAGCTCCCTCCTTTCTGCGTCTTTCCATTTTGTCCCCACTCTCATGGAAGTAATTAGCATGTCTGCATGAAGAGTGCCGTGGGCAGGCTGTACCCCCGGAAACCCCATGGGTGTGGGCGGAGGGTTTACCTTCAGGACTGGGAGCTTAATGTTGTGGAAGAAGGGCTGAAGAACCACAGAGAAGTCCTCCCGTGAGTCATAACGGCCCGACTCCACCAGCTCGCGCATGCTGTCCTGGGAACACACATGACACCTTCAGCATGGGCCCTGAGCAGGCTGAACCCCCAGGGACAGAGACAGGGGTGGTGGGCAGCATGGTGACAGCTCTGTCCCCATCTCCCTGGACAGTGTCTAGGTTGACCCCACCCTTCCTTTGAGAACATGAACACATTTGACTGCAAATTTCTTTCCAGAGAGCTGAGGCAGGTCTGGTCACTTTTTGTTTGTTTGTTTTTAGCAGACTGCAAGCTCTGAAGGTCCAGACAGGAAGTCCAGCAAGGAACAGAAACCTGGCAAGAGTATCCAGAGGGGCTTCCAGCAAGTGGTCCTGCATCCTCCCTCCTGGTGGTCCACCTGTGGTGGTCTGGGCTCTGGGGGTGGTGTGTGGAACTAGTGGGTTGGGCAGGAGTGGTGGCTAAACCTTCAGGGTACAGGGAGAGAGAAAGGTGGTCCCCTGGGGCATCCAGTGCTACTACACTCTTCAGGCCTAGTAATGGTTTAAGCCACCAGGTGCAACTGGGCCATGTGGGCTTTGCCACCTGGTTTCCATTGGGATGACTCCAACCTAGGCTCTGAGGCACCTCAGTTGGGTAGGGCTGTGGAAAGGGTCCATGGTAGGTGGTTGGGTGTCTACTCTCAGACTTCCTCAGCAGCTCTCCCCTTCCCTGTGGGCTCCCCCAGGAAAGTTCTGGGCTGTGTGTGTGGACTGAATGGTGAGGAAAGGGGTCCTCGTGGTCTCACCTGGTAAGCTTGGGTGATGACCTCCAACCTGGCCAGCTCTTGGGAGCTCTCACGTGGGCTCAGAACACAGTTACACAGAACACTGCACAAAGGGGGAAGCAGGAGAACCCAGAGCTGAAGACTGACACTGTGGAGGTCTGGCCTCTGGTTAGGGGCTGGCTTTTGTTGCATGGAGGGTGTATCCCTTAAGCCCTGGCCCAACCTAGTTTAGAAGCACATGTGCTATAAAGTTGGCTGCAATGCCAGGGACAGGTTTTTGTCCTGATGCAGGTACGATGAGGAACCTGAAGTATAAGTGAGCACTCTCATATGAATAGAGTATAAGTTGTGAACAGAGTACAGGTACTAGACCTGCAACAAATTATATTGAGCAAATGAATTCAGGCAGTGAAAATACAACTTTTAATTAAAATTAAATGCATCCTCTGGCATTGGAGCTGGTATTTTGGGGCCTTTTTCACTCATGCCCTCAGACACTTCCTTAGGTTACACCAATGTCCTCCTTTCACATTGACATCTGTGTACTATTTTGTTTTCCTACCTGTAAAATATACTATATGTATTAAAGAGATAAGAGAGAGTTAAAGCATCAGAGCAATGCCTGGTGTGCAGGTGTGCAGTTCATGCTGTAAAAGTATTTATTAAAGAAATGTATGCATAAAGTATAATGAACAATAAAACACACACCCATGTACCTACCACCCAGCTGAGGAAACAAAATATTCCCAGTCTGAAGGTCTCTTGTGACCACCACCCCTCCAATTCTCTTCTTCCTTATACAGACAACTGTTATTCTCAATCATGTGGTTTTATTTCCAGGCACATTTTCTTGCTTTCTGATACATTTTGACCACGTGTGTATACTTTCTATGTTATCCCTTTTCACAGTCTGGGCTACATTCTCTCTCAGACACCAGCATTTGTCCCAGCCAGACCTTACTGCTTATGGCTCCCCCAGGACCACAGAGATTCCTACCTGGCACCTTGAGGTTGAGTAAAGAGTAGAGCCAGGCCAGGAGAGGATGGGGAAGAAGGAAGGTTATGGCTCTGACCTCCAAGAAGGGGATGGTCCTGACACAAGTCCTCCTCTACAGACTTGGACATATGGATGAACAAGACATAAAGACCCTGAGGAGTTGCTGCCATATATGAGCCAGACCAGGGGTAAGCACTTGTCCTTCTGGGGCAGCCAGCGCCTGCCTACCTGGCATGCTGCACTGGGCACTTGTCTGGATTTCCCAGGAACACCTGCCGCATGACACTGGGGCTCATGAAGTCCACGAGGTTGACCAGGGCTCTGGGTACCTAAGGGCAAGGCCACAGATGAGAGAGGGGCTCCCAGGTCTGCTTCCTCCAGCTGCCTTAGTGCTCTGAGAAGGTGGGACAAGCTGGAGGTCCCTTTAGAACTCCAGCTCAGTGCTCTCTGAGTGGAGGTGTGGGGAGGGATCTACCTTGGGCTATCACAGAGGCCCCTGGAGGCCACGTATCACACAACTCCATGGGTGCCACTCCCATGGGCTACAGCGTGAATGGCACTTCCTGGAGTGGGACAACTTGGCTGAGTGAGTCTCAATGCTGAATTCAGCTCACTTCAGCCATTATTCAGTGAGCCCCAACATGTTCACTGTAAATTCAGTGAGATGGGTAACCTGCCCATTAGCCAGAACATAAGCCCTTTACTATTTTCCTTTAGTCCAATTTGACCTAACTCTGATGAATGGGCATGGAGACTCAGCCACCAGAGAAGCACCTGGCAGTCAGTGTTTCCTCCTGAGCAGCTGAAGCAGTGTGTCCTTGCAAAGGATGGGGAGAAGACATGCTACTGGGTGCAGGACCAGAGAGGGACTTAATCTAGACACACACTGGGACCAATGGAGAGAAACTCCCAACCAGCTGCTTCCACCAGGGAATGTCCTGGGTGAAGGTAGTGATTATAAGAGCACCCATTGCCTCCCTTCAAGCCTGAGACCTCTCTGGGCTGTAATTCCTCAAGGCAGGCTCCAACCTCTGGAAAGGGAAGGAGCCCATGCCCTTGGCTATCTCCTTCAGGGGAGGAGATACTTCCACCATTGTTCCTCCACCCCACTACTTTGCTTAAGCTATGCTAGGTTGTGGAAACCTCCCACCCACCTCTCTATGCAAGATGTCCAAAGCATTGCAGAGATGGTCAAAAAAGTTGGCTGAAGAATACAGACTCTGGAAGAGACAGGAGGAATTCGTTAAGGTGGGTGGGCAGTGGACCAATGCAGGCTTCCCTTCTGACTCCAACCCTGAGGACTTGTTCTCCCTCTGGCCTCTAGCTGTGATCACCTGTCAGAATCTGGGATGAACCATTGTTTTGTTGTCAAAACTGGGCCAGCCAGAAGACTGGACCTTCCAGCCAGAACCTTAGTTCAGGAGCAAAAATGGAGGGTCCTCCTTCCACTGATTGGGGTCTACAGTTTCTTCTCTTTCTGGATTCTCAGGAGTTATAAGTGTGGGGCATAGAAACACCATATATCTGCCAACTCAACCCACCTGGTATATGAAGGGAGGGCCAGAAACTTGAGGACTGTGGCATAAGGTATGTGTATGTGTGTGTGTGTGTGTGTGCATGCACATGTGCAAACAGGTGTAGTTGAACAATCCTAGGGTTTGACTGCTAACCAGAAGGCTGGTGGTTCAAACTCACCAGCCACTCCTCGGAAGGAAGACTGGGCAATCTACTTCCATAGAAATACTGCTTTGGAAACCCAAGGTGGGATTGCTATGAGTCGGACTCAACTTGATGGCAATGAGTGTGATTTTTTGGATTTTTTTAGGGTTGATCAAAAGACTTTTCTCAGAGAGGATCTCCAGGGCCTACCATGTAATGTCAGGAGAAAGATATAGGCCTGGCCCACCCATTTTACCGAATCCGTGCAGTAGTCACAGAGATCACTGCCACCAATCATCACAGTGATGACCTTCCAGTCTTCGTGAAAATTTACTCTCTACACAGAGGGAGGAGAATGTTTGATGATTTCCAACAAACAAATAAACAAACAAAACCTCACAGCTCTAGTCCATCCAACCCCTTCACAACTTCCTTGCCCACTTGGAATACTAGAATCAGAACCTCAGAGTTGAAGGAATTTTAGAGGTTTATTTATAGACCACAGAATCTTAGTATCAGGAGGGACATTCAAGGTCACTGTGTCCAGCAACAAACCTCCCCCCAGTGACAGTCTCTTCCAGAAAGCCTCTGACTGGGGGCTGTCCACCCTGTGCTTGGCTGTCTCTAGTGAGTGAGCTCACAGCTTCTCACGGCAGACCATTCCATTTGGGGACAAGCCTAATGGGTTAGAAAATTCATTTTATCAACAAACATAAATCTGACTCACATGGTCCTCTTTCATCCTCTGTACCAGAGTATGGACTTGGTGCACAAGTTCCCTGAGAAGGAGAGGAAAGTAGTGCCTTTGTTGAGGAGCCACTGTGCCCAGATTTTTCCACCCAAGACCTGAAGTGGAGGCTTCCAGGCCCCATCTCTGCTGCATGAGCTGCAGAGACCCTGAGGCTCAGAGATGAAAAGGAACCACATGCTGGTGCTTGCCTTCTCTGGAGAGTTATTGCAACAAATAACCATCTGAAAAGCCAATTGTGTGCTTGTTCTACAGGTACAATCAAGGGTGTTCCACTTATGCTTGCTGTTCATGGTCTTTCTAGGACTCCATGTGCACAATTTCTTTTAGGATTCCATGTCAAGAAACCATTAGTCTCTTTTGAAAGATTTGTATGTATCCTCAAAGCAGACCTATGAAAGTTTTAACATGCTTTTTTTGTTTGTTTGTTTGTTTTTACCTTGGCTACCAGGAGGCTCAGAGTCTGATGCTCAAGGACAGTAAATAAAAGCACTCAGATTGACAGAGTTGCTTCTTTTTTTCCCCTAATGGTGTGGTTTTTCTCTCTTATATATATGTTAATTTTCATAAACTTATCTAAATACTTCTTATAGAAAGAGCGGGGATATAGATATACACTGTACACATGCCTGGGTTTATACCCCTGGAAGGAATATATCTCAGGTACTCAATTCCCTGCCAGCTCAGGCCCCGTTATAGGCCTGGGGCACGATAGATCCACAGCACAGTGATCTTGGGGATATGGTGGTAGGCTTATCTGTCCTCCACTGTTTATATTATCCAGAGGAGTCTTCCCAGGCAAAGTGAGCAGGTCTGGGGTCATGCCTGTTGACTAGAAGGATGTAGGTCTGAGCAAGAAATGGTATGTGACAGAGCAAAAAGACTCAGATGGGGTGCCTCATGGAGCAGGGTGAGGATCCCCCACTGGAGGTTGTCTAGGGAGACTGGATAGTTCTTCCATTCTTCTCTACTAGATTCATTGGTAAGTTCCATCACAGGGTGAAGGACAGGACAAGCTGCTCCTGAGTCCTCTAAGGCTGAAGATTCTGAACAGCCCATCCATTTTGGTTGGCCTTGTTGACGTTTTGGGGGAATTGCCACCTGTGAGGCTCTGGGGAGAGTAGATCACTCTAGCATTGTTATGCCATGATAATTTTTAAAAATTAGATAAGGTTGCTTAGTGAGCCCAATTACTAGATCATATTGCATGTGAAAGAAAGGCTAGGAGTTTAGGCTCTAAGGGCCTTCCTCTTTTCCATGGCTGGCCAGAGTCTCTCTAGCTCCCATCTTAGTCATAGGGGTAGCCAGGTAAGAGTAGTCCCAGATCCTCTCAAGTTGTTCCTGTTGATGAATAAACATCCCTTTGCATACAGAGATCAGTTTAATTATCTTACAGGGGGGACATGTGCCCATCCCAGAGCCCCCCCACCCCCACCCAAACATACTCAGCCTTTGCTCCAGGAACAGCCTGATTGAGGAATGCATTTGTGTCATCGGCTTCACCCGTGCCCACTGCATAGCCTGTGAGGTTTCTGTTAAATTTCCGAAGGATATCTGGAAGAGAAGGGGAGTGAAGCGACCACAGAGAGCTCAGGCTAGAAGTCCAGGGTATCTTCTCTGGTCCTGTGGGGTCCAAGGTCCCAAAGTGGGCTGTGCTCTCATCCTCATGCAGCTTGGGGTGGTGCTGGACAGGAGAGGCAGGTAGGGAAATGGAGCTAGCTATACAGAGGATGAGGATAGGCTACACAGAGGCCACTTGGGCCAAGGCAGCAAGAATCCACCCCTTCTTTTTTTTCCCTCACACTTTGCAATTCACAGTGCAGTCAATCCTACCTTATTTGTCTCAGCAATTCCCTGGGTGAGCTGAGGAAAGCTTTTACAGTTGAAGGAACTTAAGGCTCAGAATATCAGGTCTCTTGCCCTAGTCATTGGGGAAACATGGTGAAGGGCCAGAGCTTCAACCTGGGTCTCCTGGTTTAAAATCCAGCATTTATTCCACACACCACCCCCTGCACAAGACTGGCTGTCTACAGGCCACTCTTCCTGCTTCAATGTCAGCTCATGAGAGAGATGCTACTTGCTCCTTTCTTAGCTGGGAGGGACACTCAGGAAGCCTAGAGGAGAAATAGAACCAGTGGATATACTCAAGACCCTTTGGTTACTTACTAGGTAATGTGGTCACATTCTTCAGGTAGCCATCCCCTCCTGAACTGTAGTGAGTGAGCAAGGCAGAGAGTGAGAGAGAATGAGGCAGAAAGAGAGAATGAGAGAGGGAGATTGAATCAATATATTCTTTGTACAAAAAGTGGCCCCATCTTTCTTAGTGCCATGACAAGAAGATGTGCCAGATCTCTCTCTTTGTTTTGAGGAATCCTGAGAAAAATGTAAATTCATGTACAGATTGAGTCCCCCTCCCCCAAATCCAGGATTTGTCCACAGTATCAGGAGGGAGAGCCCCTAGCTGAATATGTCCCAGCTGCCTAGCCCTGAACTAGAAGCTCCCCATTGGTTTATCCCCCAATCATATGACATCTTCAACTTACAAAGTAGGAAACCGAGGTGCATAGGAATCAATTACCTTGCTAGGACTACAAACCAGCTTGAGCTGGAAACCTTTAAAAAATGGGTAAGCTTCTCCTCTGTCCAGTGCAACTCCACTGGAAAGTTCAGGAAATGGCCTTTCACTGCCCAATCTCATTTCATCTAATCTAATCAAGTTTTATGGTCCTCCAATCTAACCTCCAGACATACTGTAAAGATTTCATTTCTTTTCATGCATTGGAATTGTTTGTCATGCAGAGGTAGGGAAAGAAATATTATAATAAATTCCAATATTCAGGACATAATGTATTTATACATATTTTTCTTCTATGCCTCCCTCCTCAATCCAAGCATGTTTTTCCAGGCCCTTAGATTTTTCAAACACAGCCTTGACATCTAGCCCCCCAGCAGGGACTACTCAAAGGGCAGGCCATCAGTCAGAGCCAGGGTTGTCCTTCAGTCAAGGAACGTTTGGAACGAAGTTGACTATATCTCATACCAGGATGGTCAAGGGCTTAAGTCAGAGACTAAGCAAACAGGCCCCAGGTGATGGAGAGGAAGACGCTCCAGTAAGCACTGCTCTCCTCCTTCACTCTCCACAACTTCCCAGAAAGTGCCTAAATATATTTTGGCTAGTTCCTGTTCATTTGTTTGAGCTTCCAATTCTTCTCCAGCTTTGCACGAAGCTGCCGCTTTATCCACTTCCTGATCCTTCTTCTCTGGACTAAAGGCACTTAATCAGAATATTTTACACTGGAGAGGAAATTACAAATCCATATGCCTCCTTTAATCACTGTATTTGAACTCTATTACCTTTTTCTCTTCAATTAACATAGACATACATAAACACATACACATCAAGTACTTTCTATTGCAATTTCTTGTCTAAAGGCATTTTTGTTCTAAAACCAGCATGATGGTAGATTAAGACCAAAATGTTGCCAAAAATCTTTCTCTAATCTCATTTAAAGAGAAAATTTGGGGGAGAAGTGAGAGGATTATACAAATAAGTATGTTGTTGTTGTTGTTTGCCGTCGAGTCGGCCCCAACTCATAGCGACCCCTCCTTGGGTTTTCGAGGCAGTATCACTATGGAAGTAGGATTGCCCAACCTTCCTTCCGAGGAGTGGCTGGTGGGTTTGAACCGCCAGCCTTCTGGTGAGCAGTCAAGTGCCTTAGGCACTATGCTACCAGAGCTCCTACAAATAAGTATGTTGTTGTTGTTGTTGTTGTTAAGTGCCGTCGAGTCGTTTCCGACTCATAGTGACCCCATGCACAGCAGAACGAAACACTGCCCGATCCCGCGCCAGCCCCACAATCCCTGCTATACTTGAGCCCATCATCGCAGCCACCATGTCAATCCATCTCGTTGAAGGCCTCCCCCTCTTTCGTCGACCCTCCACCCTACCAAGCATGACATCCTTCTCCAGGGTCCTTCTTACAACATGACCAAAATAGGTGAGATGAAGTCTGGCCATTCTTGCTTCCAAGGAGCATTCTGGCTGCACTTCCTCCAGAACAGATCTGTTAGGTCTTTTAGCAGTCCACGGTACTTTCAGCATTCTTCGCCAGCACCACAACTCAAAAGCATCAACTCTTCTTCAGTCTTCCTTATTCATTGTCCAGCTCTCACATGCATATGAGGTGATTGGAAATATCATGGCTTGTGTCAGGCGCACCTTAGTCCTCAAGGAGATATCCTTGCTCCTCAACACTTGATACAGTTCCTTCGCAGTTGACTTTCCCAATGCTACACGTCGTCTAATGTCCTGACTGCTGCTTCCATTGGCATCTATTTTAGAACCAAGCAATGTGAATTCTTTGACAACCTCAATCTTCTCTCCATTTATTGTGATGCTGCTCATTGGTCCAGTTGTGAAGATTTTTGTTTTCTTTATATTGAGACGTAATCCATACTGCAGACTGTGTTCTTCCACCTTCATCAGTAGATGCCTTAAGTCATCCTCACTTTCAGCAAGCAAAGTTGTATCATCTGCATATCTCAGGTTATTAATGATTCTTCCTCCAATCCTGATACCACGCTTTTCTTCATATAGTCCAGCTTCTCAGATTATTTGCTCAGCATATAACAAATAAGTATAGAGGAGCAAAATTATTTAAGCCCTTATTTTGATCAGAACCGTGAAAGAAAACCAAACCAAACAGCTAGTCTACACTAGACCCTTCAGATTGATGGGATTTATATCACATTATGAGCTCAATGGCTGGGCTTTGTTTGTGCACAGAGACACATTTCTCAATAGATATGCTAAAAACGTATGTTGAAGAAGGTTCAGTAATGTGAAATTGAACTAATTAAAAGACAAAGAAAGGCATTTTTTTTTTTTCGGTAAGTAAATTTTATTTTGGTCTTTGAATGGCCTCAAACAAGCAAACTTGTTTCAGTGGAAGAAAAGGAATGGTCTAAAGATCTGCCACAGGATTAACTTAGTGAAGCTGGGACCTTCCCTGGACTAGGCCCAGAACAAGGAGCCTTGGAAATATTCACAACCAAACCACCCTCTGCAAATTCTGCCCCCAAGCTCCTCAATCCCCCAAGAATTCTCCTTTGTCCAACTCTTGAGAGAAGCAGCTCAAATACCATTCTTAATACCATTCTTTTACCTGGAGTCATTAATTGCCTGGTCTTTCCAATCTAGAAGCTTTAATGGCTTTAGAAAATGTCTCTTCTCAGATGAATCTATCACACAGCTATTTCCCAGAGGATGCTAATAGGTGTTATGCAAAAATAAAGAGTTCTGGAATTAAAGGGAACTGCATTAAATAAATTTAAATAGATTTCTTAATTGCAGGGCTTCTTGGAGCATTTATAGGGTTAATGTCCATTGTGAATTCCCCAGGGAGGAATAATTGGCGGTGTTTCCCAAACAAATACAAAGGAACATGGATGGGGCTTGTATTCCAAGGAACACACTTTGGGAAATGTTAATCTACATATTCTACCGAGTGTCAAAATGCTGCTCAGATGTTGACCTAGAGCATTCATCCTTAACACGTGTAGATCTTGGGACAGGTATTTGTAATACTGAGGACAAATAACATGTTTAAAGGGACAGTAGCTATTGAATAGTAGGCTTTGGAGTTAGAACCAGAAGATTCAAACATTAAGCCTTAATGTTATTTATAGGAGGAAACAGAACAATTGGAATTTCCAGTTGCTGCAGAAACTTTTAGCTGAAGAATGCCTGTTTGTACCCAGATCCCAGGAACCCATCTATTTGGACTATGTGTGAAGTTGGGCAGATCTCACTTCCCTAGACGGTGCCACCATCTGTAGCTTATCAGTCATCTGTTGTATACTTTGTCTACTTTCTTTTCTATTTCCCACACTATGATGTGAGGTCATTGCTTTTGTTTCCTAAGATTAAGTGCAGCTGCCATGCAACCTCATATTTCTTTAAGTTGTAATAGGCTCTGGTTTCTTTCTTTTCCTCTAATTTTTCTTTTTTCTTGCAGCCTCATTAACGTTTGGGCTGGAGTGGTTGGGAGGGAGGCTCTGTTTTGTTACAGGGCAGCCTGTTAGAGACCACCTACTTGGCAGAGGAAACCCAGAAACTTGGGGGACTGTGGAGGCTGGATAAGACATTTACCTCAGCTCTCAGAGGGATGATGACCTCATGCTAAGGACCTCCTGGACTCTCTGATTGCTACAGGCTGAGTGATGTCACCACATTCCTGCCAAGCAAACCTTCCTCTATGTGACTTTCTTTGGGTTTGGCTTGAGAACTATCACAGTCCTGATTATCATCCATGCTGCTCCCTTTCATTTCTTGGGGGAATATTATTTTATTTGAATTCATTTTGAAGAAAAGGGAGGTGGCAAGTGTGCAACCTCTTGTTATCACTGTGCCCTCTTGTGGTTGGCTTTCTTCTAGTTGTTTTCCTAGGTAACAAATGGATTGGGAGCCAACCATCAATTACTTTGAGGCATACATAAACATGAACTTTATTAGGAAAGAAAGAAACTCAAGAATACCAACCCCTCACTCCCCACCCCTCACACATCCTGAGCTTTTCCACTTCTGTCTGGAATGCCTTCTTATTCTTTCCACCTATCTAATCACTAGTGGCTAAATCACTCGACTGCTAACCAGAAGGCTGGCGGTTCAAACCCACCAGCCACTCCTTGGAAGGAAGGTTGGGCAATCCTACTTCCATAGTGATACTGCCTCGGAAACCCAAGGAGGGGTCGCTATGAGTCGGGGCCGACTCGACGGCACATAACAACAACAACAACAACAATCACTAGTCTAGGAGCTCTAGTGGCATAGTGCCTAAGGCATTTGACTGCTAACCAGAAGGCTTGGGGTTCAAACTCACCAGCCACTCCTCAGAAGGAAGACTGGGCAATCTCCTTCCATAGAGATAACACTTGGAAACCCAAGAAGGGGTCACTATGAGTCAGAAATGACTCAATGGCAGTGAGTTTTGAGCTTTTACTCGCAAGTCTTTCAAGACATAACCCGGATGCCACCTTGTTTGTGAAGCCTTCCGTTTCTGCTGATCTGGCTGGGTACTCCCTCTTCTACATTCCTGTAGTACTCAAGTATCTTTTGTTCTTAAACAGCATTTGCTGATTGAGCACCAGGATTTGCCTGTGCTTTCCATGTATTCCCCTCACCCACCAGCATTGTGTTGATGGTCAGCAATGCCCCTTGATTGTGACTTTATTTTCTCCTGAAGAGTGCAGTCGTTTCAGAGGTTCTCTGAGCAGGTGTGTATGTGTGTGTAAAGGCAGAATTGTGAGTGCAGAACAACATAAATAAATACATCTAGACAGTAAACAGAGCAGTAAGGACATCGACAGGTACACATATCCATGCAACGGGGCAGCTGATGGTTCAGAGATCTGGTGCTTTGTAGGTGCATTTTGTGTTGGATGTGTTGACCCAGGAGTCTGGTAAGAATCCTGGTTTAGTTTTTCTGCATAATTAAAAAAAAAAAAAAAAAGATTATCGACCACAAAATACTCATCCCTTCCCACTGCAACTAAATTTCATGTTTTGCAGAAATATATAGTTTTTCTTCTGGAAGCTCCTTCCAGATCTAGTCTTTGCTCTTTGGCATTCATGCATTTACAAAGGATAAGCTTCCCCCCACTCCCCGCCAATCTCTTCAATTGAGCATGGCAGGGTGGGGGGTGCAGAAGAGAGTCAAAGTTAACATTACCTGTATGAGAGTCCCCGATACTGTGTGGTGACATCGGGAAGGTCATCTGGTTTGGAGCCAATTCCCTTGCCAGCCTTTAAAAACATATCAAAATTCGTAAGAAAATCAGCAAGTCAGAGAAGAGGGAGGCTGATAACATGCAGGGCTTCCGAAGAGGTAGTTACCAAGTTACCAACGCACTCACATACTGGAGTCTGAAGAGCAGTTTGCATACCCCTGTGGATACTCCTACCCAACCAGGAGCCTTCAAGCCAATCTCTTCACTTGCCTGAGTCTCAGCTGCCTTCTTACTAAACAGAGGACAACCCCAGGCCTGGGGGTAATTACTGGGCCTGTTGAATTGTCAATTTCCTCATCTATAAAATGTTGTTGTTGTTGTTATTTGCCGTCGAGTCGGCGCCGACTCATAGCGACCCCTCCTTGGGTTTCCGAGGCAGTATCTCTACGGAAGTAGGATTGCCCAACCTTCCTTCCGAGGAGTGGCTGGTGGATTTGAACTGCCAGCCTTCTGGTTAGCAGTCAAGTGCCTTAGCCACTATGCTACCAGAGCTCCCCATCTATAAAATAGGACTGTGGAATCTACCTTATAGGGCTTTTTGTGGAATCTACCTTATAGGGCTTTTTGGGTTTTAAGGAGACTAAGAGAGAAAATGCATGCACATTGCTTAGCACAGTTTCTAGTACCTAGAAAGTGTCCTCCAAAAGGATTAGCTGTTATTAATTTTGATCAAGCACTTTATACTACACTTAAAAACAAAACAAAACAACTATGCTGGAGAGGTGCATCCTTATGCACTTCCCTCTTAAGAATTTATCAGTATCTGCAAAGGACTAATCGCTGTAGGGATGTTGCTTAGCTTTAGATTTTCCCCATTTTTATGTCTGACCTACAAGCTAGTATTTTAAAGAACAATTTGGCTTACAGAAATAAAGCAAGAAGGCAATAGAAGAGATCCTTTCTGAGTTGCACAGGCAATCTAGAAGACCAGCTCATAAACTCTAGGAGAGGTGGGCAAGGCCTTAGAAGCCATTCAGACAGGTTGTTCATCCACTAGCATCTCACTTATTTTTCCTGTCAGAACAGGCAGATGGTGCCTTCTGCCATCCATGGAACCTAGCACAGCCACCCCTACCAGGACCAGAGTCAAGAGTCCTTACTGTCAGAGAATCCCCCAGAGCAGCCACAACTTGAATATCTGCGGGTCTCAGGGCATGCACTAGAAAGACAAGAGGAAGCTGAAGTCAGAGTCTGTTGCTTCTTGTTGGAGCAAGAATAGAAACATGACCTGCATGTGCATTTGGGTCATACAGGAGTGAGAATTCACAGTGCTGGGGAGCCTATGGTTGTATGAGGACAGAGTTTCCCTGTGAGAGAAACAATCAACTGATCCTGGGCCTATGGAGGGCAGAAGAGGGTCAAGAAAAGGCAGGAAGATGAATTAAGAGAGAGAAAGGGAGGTTGGGGAGGTAGATAACTAGAGAGAAAGAAAGGGGAGCCATGGAAGAGTTTTTCCTCATTAGAGAGGACAGAATGGAGTGCCACTCCTTTGGTGCCTAGCAGTCATGTGGGACACCAGCTGTGGCCTGAGCTCATAAGCCAGATGGGCGCTGCACCATCTGAGGTGAAATGCAGGGCCCAGTGCACAGCCAGTCAGGGCTGGATTCTAGATTTCCAGCAAGAATCTGAGGAGTAATCAAGTCTCCACTGAAGAGTCTAGGGGACTTTCCAGACCTTGCTGGCAGGCATGCATGCTAGAACTGTGATTGCAGACCCTGGGCCACAAAAGTGGCTCACAGAACTAGCCTCCTCTTGGGACCTCTGGGTTCAGTGGGGCCACTTTACAGGGCATGGCCACCAACAGGAGGGGGTTCCTGCAGTGGCTCCAGCTCATGCTCCCTGTACCAAGCTAGAGCAGGAGGACAGCACACTGCTTTTGGCCCTGATTTCGTGGAAGCCTGCTAGGCATGATATGGCCATGGGCAGAGTGGAACTTGTCCCAGCAACAACCCCAGACCCCAGAGAGGAAACAAGTGCAGATTATAAATATATCATATAGTTTGCATATTAAAAATCTTATCAAAGAACTTATTGGCATGTAAAACCAAAAAAAAAAAACAAAAAACAAAAAAAAAACCTATTGCTCTCAAGTTGAGTCTCATAGCAACCCCCATTGGGTTTCTTAAGTGGTAAGTCTTTATGGAAGTAGATTACTCCATCATCCTTCCATGGAGCAGCTGATGGGTTTGAACCACCAACCTTCTGTAGCAGACAAATGCCTTAGGCACTTTGCCACCAGAGCTCCTTATTGGCACGTAAGCCCTTGTGAAGTGGCCCCTGGGCCCTGATGTGCCATAGGTGTCTTACCTGAGGTGGGGGGTGAGACAGAAGGAGTTCTATTCCTACACAGCAGCCAGCTCCCATGATCCTAAGGGCATAGAATCAAACCCAGGATTTCAGGGTTGAAAGAGACCACAGAGGCTACCTGGGCATCAGACTTGCCCAGGGATCTTGGAAAAAATACAGATTCCTGGGTCCCAGCCTTAACAAGGGGCCTAGAAAGGACATTTTTAGAAAACTCCCTAGATGATTTTGAATTTTCAAAATAACAAAAGTCCACTGCTGTTGAGTCTATTCTGACTCATAGCAACCCTATAGGACAGAGTAGAACTGCCCCAAAGGGTTTCCAAGATTATAAATCTTTACAGAGCAGATTGCTTTATCTTACTCCCATGGAGTGGCTGGTGAATTTGAACTGCAAACGTCTTTTGGTTAGCAGCTGAGTGCTTTAACTACTGAGCTACCAGGGCTCCTCTTTTTTTTTTTTTTTTTTTAATATCAGCAAGGTTGGAGTTGGATCTGGCTCGTCCATCATCCAATGCAAGAATCAAGGCATTGACAGTATCAGCCCTCTATTTCTTTGCCAACATGCCCATCTTTACAAAGAGGATAGTTATCTTCATTTATATCTTTGATGAAGCTATGATTTGACTGGCTGGACCCCTATCCAGGCTGCTATCAATGGAGTTTACTCTGCCCTCTACCCTGCCTCCAGTAGTCTAAGCCATAGTAGGTGGGTGGCCTTTATATAAGAATGAGAACCCCCCTTCAGTTGGCCCATAAGGAACTGCCCACTTTCCCACCCTGCCCTCTTGGGCCATTTCCATCCAGGGTTGGCCACTACATCCCCTGGAGAGTCCAAAGGAAGCCACATGCAGTACCTGTACATTGTTCTTGTATGTGCCCAGAAACGGAGAGACCTGTGAGAAGAGGGAGAAGATCCAATAGCAGCAAAGTTGGCTTGCTTCCTGCACTGATCTGCTCACCAGCCATCAATAAGCACTGGCCTTGGACTGTACACTCTCCGACTCCCCTGCCCCACATCCCCAAGCCTGGCCCCTCCTGCCAGGCTGACAGGGATGACTACAGTGGGCTCCCTCCAGGACACATTGGTGCCTTCTTAGCAACCAGAGTCCAGCAGGGGCTCCCCAGGAACATGTCTTCCCTTTGTTCCTATCCTGCTGACCGTGGACAACTGTGTCACCTCCCATTCTCTACTCAGCACCATCCCACTTTCTGCTGATGAAGCCTATGACCCCACTCCACAGACTGATCTCTTTCCCAGTGTGGGCTCCTTCCTGCCCAGGAAAGAGGGGTCAGGCCGCACGCAAGCCCCAACATGGTGGTTAGCAGTGTTGGGCCTGGGGCCTCTCTGGGAATACAGAGGAATGTATGGAGATGAGGAAAGCTGCTGCAGCATTCTAAGAATCCAACAATTTGTGAGTGAAAGTGGGGGTCTTGTTCCGCTTTGCCTTCCTGGTTAATGTCTGCCTTCCTAGCTCTGGCTTCCAATTTACCAATCCTGATTCCTTGTCCCCTTACTGCTTCCTACCCAAAGAGATATTATTCGAGGTCTCTCTGTTCCTCACTCTTCCCATACTGCTATGGAGGCAGTGTCTACATGAAGGCAGGGTTTCCTTCTGCTTCATCTAGCCTTCAAAATAGAGCTGGACGTTGCTGTCATGTTCCCCTCCCTGGCCTGAAAGAGCTGCATCCAGCCCAGACTTGTGCCAGGGCTTATGCAACACAGAGAGGGTGAGGAATGTTCCAGGGCCTCACGGTCACTTGGTCTGCAATCCTTCTGAGGAGGCATAGGGGGGTGGGATGAAAATCAGGGATGAAATGAACTGATGAGCCTTAAAGAGAGCTGGAACCTGGAGAAGATGCTTTAGATGGATGTGCTGCAAGGGCATGCTTTCCACTCTACCTGGTCTGGACATGTAACATCGATCTTGTTTTCAAAATTGTGCTGTGCTGTCTTCTGGTCGACGGGTTGCAACTAAACCAAGAAGCAGGAAGATGATGGGTGAGGAAGAGGAGGCAGGAAGTGGAAGGTCAGGGTGCAGGTCGGGGTGGAACCGGGAGGGAGGGTCAAAGGAAATGGGATTTATTATCACTGCTGTGGGGGCACCTTCAGGCACACAGGTTCTAGGTCTCCCAAAGTCTTTCCAACTTCAGTCATCTTACCATGTTTCGCCACAGGGCGCTGGCTGCACGGGCGTGAGCCTTGCTGCTGAAGTGGAAGCAGTCAGGAGCAAAGAAAGAGCTGTCTGGCAACCCCTCCTGGTCACAGAGCAGAAAAATGGGGTGGTATCATGGAGACGTCAGACGACACAAATGACATTCAGAAATAACTATGGGCTCTCTGTGGATTCCATTTATCCACAATGTCTTCTTTCTTTACCGGGGTCTTTGGCATGTTCACTTTTTGAAAGAACGGTTGCACAACCACTGTAAAGTCTTCCCTCGTGTCATATCGCTCACTCTCAATCAGCTGGTAGGTCCCCTCCTAAGGGAAGAAAAGGGACAGGGTCAGAGAGCAGATGTACGACGGGAATACAGAGGAATGTACGGAGGTGAGGGCAGCAGCTGCAGGGCTCCAAGGCTCTGACAATTTGTGAGTGAAAACAGTGGTCTTGTTCTGCTCCACCTCTGTGGGCTCTTCCCATCTGCTCCATCTTTGCGTGCTCTCTTTCTCACAGAATTGAATAGAATCTGACCTTTGATGAAATTCATCTTCAGCAAAACCTCAACTAATCAAGAGCCACCTAATTACCTTTTTAGGTCGGCCTTTATCTTAACTCCTGCCCCCAACTCCTGCTTCAACTGCACATATTTAACCCAACAGGCAGGTAAGGAAAAGCCTACATCTATCAGCTTGCCCTCTTTTAAAGTTATTCTGATCAAAGAGTTGGTGAGGAGGATTATTTGATTAAGTGACATTCTGGATAATTGTTACGGATTGAATTTTGTCCCCCGAAATATGTTTTGTAAAGCCTAACCTATATACCAGAGGTTATAATCCCATCAGAAATAGAGTTTTCTTTGTTATGTTATTGAGTCAGGAGTAGTAGAGGGAACATTTTAAATCAATCTCTTTTAAGACAAAAAAGAGCAGATTAATCAAGGAAACAAGCAAGCAGAGACGGGGGAAGATAGATGCCCACCACATGAAGGTCACCATGATCGCCGAGGAAAGAAGCTGAAAAGAGACGGGGACTTTCCTCCAGAGCCCACAGAGAGATAACGCCTTCCCTATAGCCTGTGTCCTGAATTCAGACTTCTAGCGTCCTAAATTGTGAGAAAATAAATTTCTGTTTGTTAAAGCCACCCACTTGTGTTATTTCTGTTATAACAGCACTAGGTAACTATACAATAATCCACATTTATTTCTGTCCTCAAACTGCTTAATCAAAGGTGACTCAACAACATCATTAAATGCATATTTATATCATTTGTGCATATGGTGTGTGTGTGTGTGTGTGTGTGTGAGCACTGTGCTCTCATGTGTCCATATGTTTATGCCTCTTTGAGCTTTTCAGATCTCTCCAGGAGGGTAATAGAACCTGTTATCTTCACAGCTTCCCCTTGGGCTCTGTTCCAGGAAGACCAGTTACCCCAGTTCTGGCTCTTACTCCTGCCAGACTCTGCCATTTCACTACTCACCAGGGTTTCCACCATTTGCAGTCAGGAACCTGCCTGGAGAGGGAAGTCAGGCTCCTGCACCTTGAAACATTAGTGTGGTCACTTCAGAGGACCCTACAGTAAGAAAGCCTCTATGCCAGAAACCCCTTACCTCTGTCTGACCTCTCCAGCCAGTCTCCTCCATTTGCAGAACCTGACTAAGGCATAAAGTTTGATAGGGGAAGGAAAGAAGGTGATTTTAAGAGAGAGAGAAGTATAATATCACTAACAAGCTGTGTGACTTCCAGCAAGGTGCTTTCCATCTCTGATTTCTGTTCCCTCATTTGTGAGGATGTTGGATAACACCAAGCCCCTTCCTATGCTACTGGTTACTTTGAGCTCACTCAGGGTTCACAGTGGGTGGAACCACATACCTTTTGGGAACTGAAATAAATAGTATGTTGAGTGCCTGGCACATGGTAAGTAATAAATGATCACAGTAATGATCATCACCAGGGAGAGTGATGAGAACCATAGAATTAGCAGTAGGCCGGGGATGAGATGATCCTGAGAGAGGGCGCAATGACCAAATGTGGCTGAGCTGTGATCATCTCTCAGACACTAAACCAGGGTCTCCATGGTGACCAAGATCAGACCTGGCAACAGCTGGCCAATCTAGAAAGGCCAGTGAAGGCAGCTTTGATGACTATTTTCTATTCTCTTTGGCTATGTAGCATCTGCACCCACATTTGAAAACCCCACTGTATGAGAGGAAGAGCCTGCTTTCTAGTATGCTGTTCTTAGATGCCATGGAGCTGATTCTGACTCATAGCGACCCCATGTGATAGAGCAGAGCTGCCCCATAGAGTTTTCTGGGCTGTAATCTTTACAGGAGCAGAATGCCAGGTCTTCTCTCCTTCAGAGCATCTGGGTAAGTTTGAACAACGAACTTTTCAGTTAGCTGCTGAGCAGTTAGCTGTTGCACCATCAGGGCTCATTGCTTCTCACTATAGAAGCTAAAAAAGACAAATCCTTGCTTTCCCAGCCCCCTAGCAGCTAAGGAATAGGCACAGGGCTGAGGCTTTCCCAATTGTTGCCTTAGCCTCAGGCTTTGGGGTTGGAAGCGGGTGATAAAAAGATGGAGGGGCAGCAAAAATTCCTTTTTTGCCAAGGTTGCAGCTATCTCTCATTCCTAGAAGCAGCAGCGACAGTGGGGGCCTGGCTGGCCAGGACCAGCAATCTGAGGTGTCCATGATGTCTTCACTGGGACTAGTTCTTTGGTATTATTTTGATTCCACTAGAATTCCATGATTCCTAGTAGCTTGGGCTCTAACTCTATTTCTTCAGCCTTTCCAGAGATTGTATACTAACCAACTCACTGCCCTCGAGTCGGATCTGACTCATAGCAACCCCTCCTTGGGTTTTTGAGGTGGTATCACTACAGAAGTAGATTGCCCAACCTTCCTTCTGAGGAGTGGCTGATGGGTTTGAACTGCCAGCCTTCTGGTTAGCAATCAAATACCTTAGGCACTGTACTACCAGAGCTCCTAGAGATTCTATGGAACACCCAATAAATTATTCTGCTGAAGTTAGGTAGAAACTGCATAAACTCTTAGTGCTTACACCCAAGAACCCCAACTGAAATGGGTGCTCTCATGGCCATAACCCCAGCTGCCTTTTCTCTCCTGGTGCAGGCATGGACTGCTTCATCAGAGACACAGGTGCCTGCTCATGGAAGAAGGAAGTACAGCTGGAGGCAGAAGAGGTGGACAGAGGGTTGGGCAGGAGTGTCATAGAATGACATGTTGTTGTTGTTGTTATGTGCAGTCGAGTCAGACCCGGCTCATAGTGACTCCTCCTTGGGTTTCCAAGGCAGTATCACTATGGAAGTAAATTGCCCCATCTTCCTTCTGAGGAGTGGCTGGTGGGTTTGAACCACCAACCTTCTGGTTAGCAGTCAAGTGCCTTAGCCACTATGCTACCAGAGTTCCTAGAGAATAATATACAGAGGTTCATTGATATACAGAGGTTCATTTCTCTGAGTCCTTGATACATCTGACAAGTGTGGCTGCCACCAAAAAAAGTCCACAGGGAAATGCTTCTATTCTAAAGTGTCCATGAACTTGAAGGATGGGCTCACTCTGGAAGCTGTTTGCAGGCCACTCTGGAAGGGTTGGAAGGCCTACCATTGTCCTCTCAAGTGACTAAATGATCACTGTGGGCAAAATCAAGATAGTTAAGGGAGTCAGCTGTTCTGGTAAACGATTCGATGAGGAAACAATTAAAATGAACCACCACAAGATGTCTGGAGACCATCTGCTAACTTTCTATCCCCGCTGTGCTCTCTGTGCTACCCACTCCCATGGGAGGGGAGGGGACAGGAGAGGGAAAGTATCTTCTGTGTGCCAGGTGCCTTGTGCAGGTTACCTCACAACATCTGGGCAACTTCCTTGGGAGGGCACTGCTTCGACCTCCTTTTCACCTTTCTTTTCACATCCAGGAGTCTGACTCCCAGAGAGCTATCTGAGATTACTTATCTAAGTCACACCATCAGCTGGCGGCAGTTACGGTTTTGATCTAGTCAGAACCACTCTGAAATTTCTTCCCAGGACAGCACATTTCTCTGTGGACGGCTGGAAACACATGTTTTCATGTAGCGGCCAAGGCCCTGAGTTCAGTGAGTGGTTTAGTCACTTGTCTCTGTAGCTTTAATTGAATATGTTTGACCACAGCCCCTGCTGCCTTGTGGGTGTCTATATCGGCCCAGTTGAGTCAGCAGTAACCCCACATCCAGTTGGTCAAAATTACCTAAGCATTTACTCATTTTCCAAATAGAGCAATAAAATCATACTGCAGTTCCTGTGTAAGTCTCAGCTTACCTGATACTTTTTATTCACTTCGACGAGGCTGGCAAGTTCTGTGGAGTTATCATCAAACTTCAGGACACAGGGACACAGAGACCTGCAGACCAAACCAGAGATACCCCCACCCATCAAAATTACTGTTCTCGACGTATGACCTTGAAACATTGGCGTAAGACTCTTTTAACCTGGAGCAGTCTTTTAACTTGGAGCAGTGAGGAGTCTGTGTTAATGAGGGGACTTGCCTGGCTAACCTGTTGACTGTAGTGATGATGCTGAAGAAAATTTCCCAGACCTGGATTTGTTCTTGAAAATGAAATAGGTATTTCTTCTCATATCTACAGGAGTGACTTTATGGCTGTGTGAGGACAATGCTATGCAGATGAGGCATAAACCAAAACCAAACCAATCTCACTGCCATTGAGTCGATTGGACTCATAGCATCCACTCCTTGGGTTTCCAAAGTGGTATCTCTATGGAAATAGACTGCCCAATCTTCTTTCTGAGGAGTGGCTGGTGGGTTTGAACAGCCAGCCTTCTGGTTAGCAGCCTTCTGGTTAGCCACCAGAGCTCTCTCCTGCAGATGAGGCATACCTCCTTTTAAATAATAATCATGATCACAGCAATAACAATAATAATGGCTAACACATAATGAATGTTTACTATGCCAAGCACTGTGCTAAAAGCTCTCTAGGTTATTAACCCATTTAATCTTCACAGTCATTCTCCCCATCTTACAGATGAGTAAACTGAGACTCAGAGTGGGTAAGCAACTTTCTCAAGGCCACATGAATGCTAAGTGTGGAAGCCAGGACTTGAACTCAAGTCTGCCTGGCTCTGCACTTGTTGTTAGCTGCAGTTGAGTCTATTTCAACACCGCAACCTCATGTGCTTTCTTAGTTGTGGTCCTTACACCAAGGCTTTTCTTCCTCAGCATTGTTGGGTGGGTTTTAACCACCAACCTTTATGTTTGCAGATGAGCACAAGCTATTTATGCCACTTAGGGACCTTCCTGAGTTCTTAACCTCTATACTAAACTTTGGTCTGGTCTGCAACTCTGACTGCAGGCCATTTTGCAAATCTAGACTTTTGGTCCTGGGGGATGAGGCAATGGTGTGTATGGCTCATTGCAGGGTTAGTGCAGCCACTGAGATACAGAACACCAGAGAAGCAGAGGAGGGCAGGGCACAAGAGAGGTGGAAGGCCCAGGTGACCATCACTTTGATATTCAGTGGTTTGGTCTTTTCAGTTCTGAGAACAAACCCGGCAAATGCTTACCCTGGAACTTTAGTTTGAATGGTCTAAAAGGCCCTGTAGTACTTGGCAGTGATAAACCTTTTTGGTGAGTGGCTCTGAGATGGGATGAATACACTGAACCCCCTGTGTGGCCCAGTGACTAGAGAAAGTGGGAGCCAGGGTATGAGTCAGTAGCTGAAAATAGCATGCTGGACACCAGCTGTGGTAATAGGCACGTGTCATCCAGGCTGTCCGCCCTCTGCTCCCCCCTCCTGAGCCCTTCCCCTGGGGCTCTGTGTAGCCTGGGCCCCCAGGTGAGCTTTGGCATAGATCTTCAGAAGACCAGCCAAGATAACTCCATAATTCCCAAGAACAAATCTTCTCCTTGTGAATTAATCATTCAGTTGTTCAGCAAACAGCCCCTGAGCCCCTAGCAGTGACCCAGAAACTGAGTTCACAGGCTGTGGGGAGTTAGGCTCATGAATAATTACCATAAGATGTGCTCAGGGCTATGGTAGAGACCTGTATGGAGCTACAGAGGCAGTTGGGGGTATGGGGATAGGGCTTTACTAAATCTGGGACACCGGACCAGGACCTAGACTAAAGGTCTAGAGAAGGACTTGCAGAAAGGTAAGCTGTGGGGAAATGTTCATGCTTAGAATGTCTTATTCCTGAGGGTGACAGAGATGTGTAATATTAAGGAGAAGCCATCTTTGTTTGGTTCTGAAGGCTGAGGGATGAAGATGACCCCTCAGGGGTCTTCTGAGGCCAGGGTTCTCTGGGAAAGACACTATCCTCTGGGCTGATTCTGATTTGACCACCTACTCATCTAGAAAACAACTGTGACTCCAACTTTGTGAATGCCCAGCCAGGAGTACCCACACCAATCAGAGGTCCCTCTGTGCTGGAAGCAGCTGCCTAGAGGGTGTAGGGAAGCTCCAGACATACTCAAAAGCAGGTCCTCTCTGAGTCCTGCCTATACTAGCTGAATCCATTCCTCCCTCTCTGGATTCAAAGGTATCAGGGGGCCGCCAGGTCAACAGAAGCAGGGTTGGGGTTCTAAATGCACACTTTGAGAACAGGCAGCTGAGGTCCATCCTGAGGTGGCAAAAAACATGGGATGCCCCCTCCATTAGACCTTTTGAAGTTAGGAAATGGGGTGGTCTCAGCACTTCTCATGTTCTACCCTATGGTTTTCTAAATGATCAGAGCCACTTTCTGCTAAGGATCCCACAGCCATTTCTTTCGGAATCAAGTAAAGAAGTTTCTATCTCACTTGAGGATCAGTCTTGGACAGCTGACTTTCTCCTCCTGGTATAGCTCCCTCAGGCCAATGATCTCCAGCACCAGCACCAGGTTCACAAAAGTCCGAGGAACCTGAAGAAAGGCAAAATCAGTCCCCTGAGAGGACTCAGGCTGCACAGCTCTAGTCTCTTATATGGGTCTGAGGCTTGCTCCTCCTGCTGGTGTATGGCCATCAGTCTGGCCCCATCCACCTCCTTTATCCCTCCCACCCTTTCTGCTCCCCATCAATTCTGTGACTGGCTGATGTCCAGGTAGGGGTGACCTGCCAGGAGGTCTCAACAGGAAGTCAGAGCTGCTTCCGGGTTAGGTTTGGGGCCCAAAACAAAAGAGGCTGTGGCTGAGCTATTCAGAGCTGGTGCCGACCAGGCTCTGTACCTCAGCGTGGAGGATGTCCAGAGCCTTCGCAATGTTGCCGGTGAAGTTCTGGGGAGAAAAGCGAACCTGTAGGAAGAGGAAGAGTCTCTTTAACACATTTCTCATTGGGTCTGCCTACAGACCAGAGCCACATCCTTTCTTGCAGACCAGAGCCACATCCTTTCTTGTGTCCCCTTCGTCCTGTATTTCAGCCAGAGTGGGCAACAGGGAGATAGATACAGGGTTTTCCTTTGGGGTCTTAGCCTTCATATCAACTCTACAGCCCTGGGGCTTGTCATAGTTATGATTCTCAGGAAACTGCCCCTCTTCTGTGTAGAGTGACAGAAAGCTCTGGATCTACTTTGTGACAACTAGCTATAGGGTCTTAGAAGTCACTTCACCCCTCTGGGTCTCTCTAAAATGGGGATGCTGGACCAGATGACCAAGGGACTAAGTTCCCTTGCAGCTTGAGGCCTGAAGTGTCTGGGAATATACATTCTAAGGGAAGTGGATACTGTCATGACCCCCCACCCCACTCAAGTAGCATAAATACATTTTAACTGTTATTCTTCCTGATTTCAATACTTTTTAAAATTTCTTTGTTTGCTTAAAGTAGTGGAACTTTTCCTCCAGATGAAATCTAACCCTGAGCCCTGATAGACTAAGTGGATTAAAGCTGCAACACTCACAACTTGAAAACTCTTGACCCTGGTCACTCTGAGGGTGGGACAGTGGACCATGAGAAGGCTGAGTAGCAAGACTCATTATTTCCTAAACTTGGCTCTGCTGGTTCCCTTTCTGCATGACAAATGTATTTATCTTCAAGTTCCAGTTGGAAAGTCTACTGCTGTCTGATGACAGCCCCACACCACCCCAAATTCCCATAGCAATTTTGACTTTTGCTCTCTCTTCCTTGTGTATCACTTGAACCACACTGTGATGTTTTTCTTGCTGTGTTATGGTGAGTTGTCTGTGTCTCCCTCTCCTGACAGTGTGGGGTCCTTGAGGACAGACCTGGGTTTCATTTGTCACTGCTTGACACCAAATACAGTGCCTGGAGTATAATACGTGCTCAGCAAATGGTACTAGAAATGAAAAATATTCTAATTATCAGAAAATATTACGAACAAACTTAAAAAGCAAACAATAAAATAAGCAACGTATTGGACAAAGGAGTTGTATGCTTAAGGTAGGGATTTTGAAAAAGCAGTAGGAAAAAGATGACTGTCCAAACAGAAGCCAATAGCCATGGTAGAAAATTTAACAAAAGGAGAAATTCAAATGAGTATTGAACAGGGGAAAATAGTTTATTCCTACCTAAAACAAACCAAACTCATTGCCTCCTGGTTGATTCTGACTCATAGCAACCCGATAAGACAGAGCAGAACTACCCTCACAGCTGTAAATCTTTAGGAAGCAGACTACCATATCTCTCTCCCATAGAGCAGCTGGGGGGTTTAAAATGCCAACCTTTTGGTTATCAGCCAAGCACTTAACTATCAGGTTTCCAGGGCTCCTTATTCCTACTTAGTGATCAAAATAATGCAAAGTTGGGAAAAAATGAGGTGCAGTCTTTAATCTATCAGATTAGCAACGATTAAAAACAATGATGACATACATTGTCATTTGGGGTATGGAGAAATAGGCATATAAACTTTTTGGGAGAGTTTGCCAATATGCATTCCAAACATTAAAAATACTCATATTCACCAAAATGTAAGATGGGTGATAGATATTTATGTGTTAAAGGTAATACAGTGCAACATTAGCAATTGTAGTATCTAGGTAGTAAGTATACACTCACTCATCACTTATCAATGTGGTTAGGTTCCAAAGGCTATGTTGCCATGTGAAAATCAACATTACGCAAAAATGGAGAATGAACACATCAGATCACAAAATGGAAAATAACTATACCATTACATAACTGCCAAATTATACCATTATATAACTGCCAAATTATATCATTGCATAACTGCCAAATTGTTTTTACATAACTGCCAAACCACTGAGAATCATGGTCCAGCCAAGTTGGCACATAACCTTAACTATCATGGACTGTATTACTCTCACCTTGGACCTTGGCATTTGTTACTGCCAAATATACACTGTTAATGTGCAAAATAGTCAGATAGTAGATTTTGTAATAATGTTGTAAATCTGAAATGTCAGATAATGAGATAGTAGATATTGTTGTTGTTATGTGCCGCCGACTCCTCCTTGGGTTTCCGAGGCAGTGTCACTACGGGAGTAGATTGCCCCATCTTCCTTCCGAGGAGTGGCTGGTGGCTTTGAACCTCCAGCCTTATGGTTAGCAGTCAAGTGCCTTAGGAACTATGCTACCAGAGCTCCTGAGATGTAGACAAGTGAGGAGTAAATGTATAGGAATTTACTGTATAATTCCTTTTATTTCTCCATATGCTTAGAAATTTTCACAGTAAAATGTTAGAGTAAATGCACATATCTTTTTGTTTAAAAATCTTTCTTCTTAGAATACATATACTAAGGAAAAATTATGGATATAAACAAAGATGGATATTAATCATGTTGTTGTTGTTATGTGCCGTCGAGTTGGACCCGACTCATAGCAACCCCTCCTTGGGTTTCCAAGGCGGTATCACTGCAAAAGTAGATTGCCCAACTTTCCTTCCAAGAAGTGGATGGTGGGTTTGAACCACCAGCCTTCTGGTTAGCAGTCAAGTGATAGTTAAAATAGGAAAAATTAAAAGTACTGTAAGCTAAGTACCCAAGAATGGAGAATACTTAAGTAAATTATGGCTCATCTACATGACAGTCTTTAGGGAGGTCTGGTGGCATAGTGGGTAAGACATTTGGCTGCTAACCACAAGGTTAGCAGTTCAAACCCACCAGCTTCTCTGCAGAAAGAAGATGGGGGCAATCTACTTCCTAAAGATTTACAGCTATGGAAACCCAATGTGGGTCACTATGAGTTGGAATTGACTCAATGGCAGTGGGTTTGCTTTTTTGGTTTATACAGTCTTTAAGAATTATTTTATAGAAAAAAAATATATTGATCATGGGGTTAGCTTCCCAATGTATTAGTAATTGAAAAAAAAAAAACAGATTACCAAATAATATTTTCAGAATGATACTATTTTTAGAAACTAAAGCAATTTTTCTGTATCCACAAAAAATGTTAAATAGACATTTACCAAAATGTTACCAACAGTTATTAGAGACTTTTTCCCTCTGAACTTTGATGTCGTTCTTATATATATTGCATATAAACTAATAATTTTATTTACTATTATAATAAAATTTATTTTATTTAAAATAATAATGAAGCTATTATTTTGAAAGTCAATTGAATTAAATATAAAAGAGGGTACAGGCTTGTTCAGCATAGATAGAAGAGGTAGAGTTACAGGGAAGCAGATTCAGGCTTAACACAAAGAAACACTGAAAGAGCAAACTAAAGGTCTGCCCATCATGGGGATATTAAGCAGCTGGATTTTATGGAAAGGATTCCTTCCATGGGTAGGAGGCTGGTTAAAATGGCCCAGGGAGTGTCTTCCAGTCAGATTCTGTGGTTCTAGGAAGAAGTGCCACCCATAGCAATAGCCTCACTCTTGGGGTTCCCATCAGTTCAGCATGACTTGGTTCGGAACCTTGCCTAATGCCTGCAAGTGCCTGCAGGTGACAGCACAAAGGTGGAGATGGAGGGGGTGTTGGACATGGAGAAGGAGCTGCCTTAAAATTATCTATGAAGGTATGCAAGATTTTTCTAGATCATTAGAAAGTTATCTTGGTTTCCTGAATGATATCAGGATCCTAATTAGAAAGCCTAATCATGATCTATCTCAAAACCAGTCTTGTTCTGTTGAATCTCTCCCTGGAGGTGAATGCCCTCTCGGTTTCAGGTCTCAGGGTTCATTCCAGGCTGGATCCAGGCCAAATCATGAGCCCTAGTCTTAGCCCAGCTGCCCTGCTCCATGAGCCAGTAACCTGGGGCTAGTGGAGATCCTTACCTGGGGGTGAGTCTTGAGTTGAGGGCCTTAGAGACTTACCGGGTCATTGCAGAAATCACAGAGGTCATTGCCTCCTATAAATATGGTTATTATCTTCCAGTCATCCTGAAAATTTATCCTCTGAAATGAATAAGAAACAAATAAGTAAGCACCTTGTCCCAGAGTCAAGAAGATGGAAACACAGAGTGCTGAACACCAGGAGAAATTGGTCCCCACCAGAGGATTTAGTGGACAATCATAGTTTTTCTCTTTGGTTTTGGGATCCTAAAGTCATAAAGATTTGGTGGGTACTAATTGGTTCAATTCCCCCCTTCCCCAGTGGATCATTGGACTTTCATGTGGCTCTACCCACACATAGGTACATACAGGTCAGTTCCCAAATGTCTTCTTGGGAGTGGATACTGATGCCCACCAAGCTTTATCCCTCCCATCTCTACTCTAGCAAGGAAAAGGGAGAGGGATAGGAAAGCTGGTTCTGGCTATGGGAAAGGAGAACATTTGTTCTGGGATCTTCTGGAATCTTCTATCCCAATTTTACCTTAAGAGAGAAAGAATCATTGTCCATTAAAAGGAAGCTCTAACTCAAATCATGCACATTAATTAAAACTAATTGTTCATAAGCAAATCAAACAGGAGAGTCTGGGAAAAGTAAAGTGGAAGCTCCAACCATGTGCTCTGAAAGGATTTGCCACTTGTGGCCCAAGGGCAGCTGTGGCCCTCACAGCCTCTTACACTGTGTAGCTTGGACTTCTGTGACTTACACTTCCAAAGAGGATAGTAAAACCAAACCAAAACCAAACTCACTGCCATTGAGTCAGATCTGACTCATTGCGACCCCTCCTTGGGTTTCCGAAGTAGTATCACTACGGAAGTAGATTGCCTAACCTTTCTTCTGAGGGTTTGAACCGCCAGCCTTCTGGTTAGCAGCTAAATGCCTTAGGCACTACACCACCAGAGGATAGTAGGAGGAAAAAAAAATCCACAAATTTCTGACATTAAGAGCAGAAAGCACCCATTACATTACATGCAAAATAACTAATCCCATCTCTTGCCCTCTGCACACACTTTTCATTATTCTCTTCACTTTGTAGCTCCAAAAAGAAAGGTCTAAATTGAAAATTTTGAGAACTCTGCTTTTATTTGAGGGAGAACCTCATATTCGTCTCTCAGAACCCAGCTCAAATCTCCTTGGCGTTCACAAGCAGAGGACCCTGTCCCTTCCTCTGTGCTACCCATCTACCTTACACGTAGTACTCTTTATAGCATGTGTCAACTGCTTTATAACTTGCATTCTTCATGTTGGCCTCCCCTTATGAACTCCTTGAGGGCAGGGACAGCATATGTATCCATAGCACCCGGCCTAATGCTTGAGGCATGAAAAATGTTTCATGTAAATCACTGACTGACCGAGCGAATGAATGACTGAATAAATGAAGGAGAATTCCTTTTCCAGAGGAGCAGTGTTTCAGACTTCAGATATTATTGCTGCAAAGCTGGCCTAGCTCCCATTAGTTTCCGTTCCCCTATAGCTGACCCTCCTCATCTCCACAGATCTCTCCTGTCTGCTCCTTACTTCGGGGATCCTCCCCTGAGTGGTCCCAGGTGGCACCTCTGCACTCACTGTGTCATTCTTCATCAGGTCCACCAGCCTTCTGGCCTGGACAGGTAAATCCCTGGAGACACACACAGGAAATGGTCATGTGAAGAGTGGGAACTATAGGGCTGGGAGAGGAACTTAACAGAGAGAGCAGGAATCAAACATGTACGAGGAGGGTCCAAGCAGGTCTCCTGCAAGAATGTTGTACTAAAGGCCTTGGCCCCACAGAGCTCCCTCCTCCTTGGCTCTCCTGGGTGAAGAGGCATGAAGGTGCTTTGGGAAGGGCAGAGCACTCCACATCTGAGGGGGTGACTGTTAGTGTCATTACCTTCTGATTGGTGTATGTGACTATACACTTTTTTCTCTCTTCCGAGCCAGGCTTGGTCAGGGTAAACAGAAGGTCTGCATATGTGTACTTCATGTTTAATGTCATGCATGGCTCCAACATGTGACCATTTCCATAGATGCCATGACTTCAGTCCCCATATCCTCAAGATGATATGGTTGAGCTAGACACACCTGGATTTGGTGCTTAGTTGCCACTTGTTAACTAGGAAAGTGACTTAAATTCTTGGTTTAAAAAGATTAAAAATATGGAAATAAACCATTACCATCACTTCCATCTTAGAGGGTTATCAGGAGCAGTACATGAGATAGGTAAAGCAACCCTGTGCAGCAGGCAAGAGCCACTACTGGTTGCAGACAGCATGGGTTTCAGTCCTGGTCTTACCATTGGTCAGCTCTGAGACCTCAGCAAGGACTTTACCTTGCAAACCTGCTTGCTCCTTTATAAAATGGGGGTGGGAAGTATACCTTGTCCATGGAGCTGTTGGGAGGGTTAAATGTGGTTCTAGATAAAGAACTGAGAACAGTCCCTGGCCCATGTGAAAAAAAAAAAAAACCAAGTTCATTGCTGTTGAGTTGATTCTCACTCATCACAGTCCCTCCTTGGGTTTCCAAGGTGGTATTGAATTAGTACTATCATCACTACCACAACCATTGTCATCATCAATAAATCCCTGGCATAGTGCCTAGCAGGAGACATTTGTCACCATCCTCTCCCCTCTTAATGGTAGTCCAACTGGCCCTGGTCATAGTCAGACTAAATATTAGATAACCTGGATGGGGAATTGGGGTAAGTCACTGAATCTCTTTGAGCCTCAGTTTCCTTATCTATAAATCTGAAGTTATCAAGGCAGCTGCTCTTTCTATGAGCTAGAGTTTTGTGAGGATTATGCAATCTCTCTGAATCCTAATTTCATCACTAATAAGAAATGGGAATGTGACCTTCTTCTGCTCTGTCCATCTCAGAGTTATCATATGGAATACATGGGATAAAAACATGAAAGTGCTTTATCAATTGTACACAACTGTGCATGTGTAATGGAGCTCTGGTAGCATAGTGCCTAAGGATTTGACTGCTAAGCAGAAGGCTGGCGGTTCAAGCCCACCAACCACTCTATAGAAGGAAGACTGAGCAATCTATTTCTGTAAAGATCTACCACCTCGGAAACCCAGTGAGGGTCACTATGAGTTGGAATCAACTAGATGGCAGTGAATTTGGTTTTGGTTTGGTGCATGTATAAGTTGTTATTATCTGACTTGGAATAAAAGCTGCAGTGTAGAAGGATAGATGATGTAGTTGAGTTCATGCATTCGTTCAGGTCATTTAGATTCTTTGTGCAGTTTCTTCATCTGTAAAACGGGAACAGTAATTTTCAACTTTTCCTTGCTAGCCAGGAATGTGCTTGGATAAATGGATGATTTGTATGACAGAGCCCCCAGGCCTCAGGGAGAGCAGGGACAGAAATCAACACCCTATGAATTGTGTCAGCTCTGGTAGCTTTTGTGCTCTGGACTCTGAGGTTCCATTCTTGGGTGTCTAACTGAATAATCATGCCCAATCCCTCTTACACCATCAGCTGATGATATATACTGGGAGAAAACAAAATCATGGTCATATCAAGGTAAGCAAAACATTTCAGGCTGTAAATTGGTAAACTTCCAATCCCAGCTCTGTGAAAAGGGGAGGAAAAAAAAGCAACCCACAGAGTTCATTGTAAAACCTATAATTAGGTTTTGTATGATCCCCTGCTTTGGATAACCTGTGTTACCTTTCCAGTCTTGGATAAATGACAAATCTATTCAGGTGGCTTACAGCCTCAGATAGGTGTTGACAGCCAGAAGAATTATATCAGGGAATCTAGGTACCAAACACGGAGTTCCTAGGAACTACTTGGTGGCTTTATACCCAGTCAGCCAGTGGAGGAGCCCCACATTTTCTGGCAGTAAAATGAGGTTTGTTAATTATTCTAAAAAAAAAAAGTAGAATTAAGGAACAGAAAGGATTTTTTCTTCTTGATTGGGTATGGACTCAGAGTCAGCTGTGGTCTACAAAGGCACATCTTATGTGGACATGAGGGTTATAGATAAGGCAAAGTAATTTGCTCAAAGCCTATGATTGGCATTAGTCAGTGGGACTAGTTCCCTGGTGGTAGGGTGGGAGAGGGGTAGCAGGTTTCTGTCACTGACAGCAAGGGACATTCCTGGGAATTCACATATCCTCTGATCATGTAGCAGACCCAATGTAGCTAGCATTCAAAGCTTTGAAATCTTGGAGCAAAATGGAGCTGTAAGAGCCAGGAGACCTGACCAGCCTGCTCTCAGGGAATCAGCCATTCAGGGCCCACATACCATGGCTTACTGGTCCCTGGGCTCACTAACAGCTTTCTGTAGGGTGTGTGTCTACAGCCCTGCTGGATTATTACTGTGACCATGACAAATGCTGCACACACCATCTACTACTTGCCAGGACACTCACATCCAATATGGCAATTGAGCTTCCCAACCAGTCCCATTGTATAAGCTGAGGCTTACTGAGGCCAAGGAGGAAGCCAGGATACAAATTTGGGGCTAACCCTCCCAGGACTGGTGCTCTTCCCCTTACACAGGAAGGAGGCAAGATCTGAAGACTGAAAAGATGTCTGAGGAAGGGAGGGAAAGCCAGACTCTAAAATGGGAGCATTAAAGTGGCATAATGGATAAGGCACTTGGCTGTTAACCAAAAGGTCAGTGGTTCAAACCCACCAGTCACTCCACGGAGGAAGACTGGGTAATCTACTTCCATAAAGATTTACAGCCTCAGAAACCCAAAGGGGTCACTATGAGTTGGAATCGACTTGATGGCAGTGAGTTTTTGTTTTGTTTTAACAAAATTAGTGATAGTAACTGGGACTCAGAGTCAGCTATGGTCTACAAAGGCACATCTTATGTGGACATGAGGGTTATAGATAAGGCAAAGTAATTTGCTTAAAGCCTATGATTGGTATTAGTCCGTTTCCCTGGTGGTAGTGTTGGAGAAGGGTAGCAGGTTTCTGTGACTGACAGAAAGGGACATTCCTGGGAAAGCACTGGCCAGACTTTGATCCTCAAACCCCAGGCCTAGACCAAGCCCTATCAGTCCTGCAGTCATATACCCCAGTCTAGGCCAAGCCCCTCAATGCCCCTGAAGGCCCTGTGCTGTTCATCCCCAAGGGTCCCCTGCTCACTCAGCTCGGTCTCCTGCCACCGCCTGGTTGAAGAAGGCTCCTGGACGGTTTTCTTTCCCAGTGCCAGTAGAATAGCCCTTTAGGGAAGGGTTGAATTCCCGGAGGATGTCTGGAAATACAAGGCAGAGACATGGCTTGGTGATTACCCCAAAGCAATCTTCAAGTTCCTTTGGTAAGCTCTAGTGGGTAGCATAGTGCCTAAGGCACTTGACTGCTAACCAGAAGGCTGGCAGTTCAAACCCACCAGCCACGTCTCGGAAGGAAGGTTGGGCAA